AGGCCTTCTTTAAATCAATGAACGTTAGACAGAGCGGCATCTTGAACTCCCGAGATACCTCAATGAGCTTGATTATTGTGTGGATATGGTCGATGGTACTGAATCCTTTTCGGAATCCAGCTTGTTCACATGGTTGTCCTTCATCTAGTGTTCTGCTAATCCTATTCAGGATGACTCGAGTGAATAGTTTGTAGATGACAGACAATAGGCAGATTGGGTGATAGTTGCCAATGTCGTGGATGTCTCCTTTCTTGTATAGTAGTACAGTCCTGCTGGTTTTCCACTGGGATGGAACCTTGCATTCAGACAGGTAGCGTGTGAAGAGTCGAGCCAATGTATTGATGAGTACGGATGGTAAGTTCTTCAGGTGTTCAGGTCTGATCTTGTCTGGGCCAGGTGCTCTTTGTTTCTTTACCGACGAGATGGCATGTTGGATTTCGGAAGGGAGAACATTGGGAACGACATATCCATCATGTGGTATGTGGTATGTGGGCAAGTGGATGTGGCTATTAAAGAGATCTGAGTAGAAGTCATGAATAATCTTCTCCATTGCCCTTCTGGAAGATGTGATAGATCCATCATGATGTCGGAGGGCAGTCATCTTGGTTTTGTAGTTGGTGAAGGACAGGCGGGCATTACGACTGTTTTTCCCAGCTTCTGCTTCATCTACCAGTACTGCTGCTCTCCTGTTTTTGAGGTCATCCTTGATGGCTTCTCTGCACTGTTTTGCCAGTTCGGATGTTCGCTTGTGGTTGCCTGAGGCATGTTCCAAGCCACGTTGGCGAATAAGTTCAAGAGTGTTCGAAGAAAGACGGTTTTTTGTGGTTATCTCTTTCTTGGCATTCCTTGCACTATCATGGAGGTGCTGAATCATTCGATCGTATTCCTCATCAATGTTGTCAATGACGGCATCTTCCCATGTTGCCGCAATAGAGCCAAAGAGCTCCCAGTTGGTGGTTGTTCTGGGAGTCCTCTTCTTAAACCTTGCATTCTTTTCTCCTCGTTCTGTGAGGTAGAATTTTGCACGAAGAAGACGGTGGTCTGATCCCGTTTGGAATTTTGGGACAACAGCAACATCGGTTAGGCAAAACCGCCGATTGAATATGATGTGGTCTATTTCATTGTGGAACCGTCCATCGGGAGACTCCCATGTCCAACGTTTAGATTCAGCCTTTTGGAATTGTGAGTTACCATGGAAGGTTTTGGTTGACATGATGAACTCAGACAGTCTGTCACCCTGTTCGTTCCATTCCAGGCCATGGGTTCCAATGTGGAGTTCATCGACTGATCTTCTTGGTCCTATCTTGGCATTAAAATCACCGACAATGATCTTGTAGAAGGTGTGATCTTCTTTATAGAACTTCTCCAGCTCCATGTAGAATTTCTCAGTTTCTCTTTCACCATAACTGGATGTTGGTGCATAGACAACAAAGATAGAAACTGCCGGTAGTGAGCCACATTTATTCAAGTGTAATCGTTCGATTCGGGTTGTTAGGCATTTGAATGAATCAATGCTCGTGACTAAGTTTGTGTTGACAAGGATACCAACACCACCGACGCCTCTTTTATCACATGTTCCAAGGAACAGTTCTTCTCCAGTGTCGAAAACAGCATGATGGGATTGATGTCTTCTCATTTCGGTCAGACCAATGATGTCGTACTTGATCTTTCGCGCTTGTACCATAAGGTCTTCAATGGGTGCAGTAGATGCCAGCGTACGAGCATTAAAAGTACAGACAATCATTTTTGTTTTTCTGCGTTTTGGCAGCCTATGTCTGCCTTGGTGTTTTATCAGCCTCTCCTTCCATATCCTTCTCGACTCTGCATATTCAGGGTTAGGGAAATGAGATCCATTTATTACTGGATTTGGCATATCAATTTGGTCTATTTGGCATAGACCACGGATAGCTTGCCAGGCTCTGCCGTGCGGGTTGGATATTTAAGGTACCCTGAAAACTTAGAGAAAAGTAAATAAATAGTCGCGCGGCCGCGAATGTGGCCGCGCGCTCCTGGGAGCTTGTTGTGATAATCTCTGGATCCTGGCCGTTGTTGGGGTTACACGGCAGTTGGAGGGTTTAACTGTCTAGCTACTGACAGGTCCAGTCCCAAACCGTGCAGGCTTGGAGATCTCAGCCCCGGGTCCCACACACCTGGGTTCCTCTGCCAGTTCTGTTATGTCTGAGGCTTATTCAAGTGTGTGGAGAGTGGCCCCAGTAAGGCCTTGGTTGGGGCCTGGAGGTCTTCAGCTGCTGTTGGGCCCTGGTGAGGATAGTCAGACACAGGGTAGGAGACTCTGCCTTGTGCTCTCCCGGGAGCTTGTAATTACTACTATACAAAATGATTTCATTTCTATTTTTGCCCCATTGTTAGTCACAATAAGAAGAGTACCCACTGAACACATCCATAATAAAAAATTTCTTTTACCTGAGAAGTTAGCTTGAGAAGATAAGCCGGAGAGTCATTGGATTCTGAACTGTCAGAGCCGTGGCTACTATAAAAAATATTTTATTTTACAGAATGTTTTGGTGACATTTTAATATCACAACAATTTATTATCTTTATTATCTTACTGGAATGGTACAACTATTTCTAGTTATGAGAAGGAAATTTACAAAGGTGGTATACATGTTTGATAGTTCTGTACATCTTAGAGTGTCAGGGGAATAATGAATGAAATTGATTGGAATATGTCAATTAAACAAATGCTTAAATTAAAAATAAGAGTTTCCATTTGCAAACAAATTATTAACCCTCACTGGAGGTTATATAGGGGCACTAATTCAGAGTTTCAAAATTATAAGTATATGGGAGCATCAAATATTTGCTCTTTCTTTCCTACAGGATTTGTATTAAAATTAGTATCTTCCTTCTTCCAAAGGCAATACCTTAACATGGAATTATGCACGAATTATTCATTGAGTTAGAGTGGTATGTGACATCTATAAATGTCCATTTTCATTTAAAATATAGACTTAAATGTTAATGGTTGAATTTAAAATAGGTATATGCCTTTTACACATAGTATATAGCAGATTTTCCTTTAGTATTGCTTAAATAAATGAGGAGTTAATAAGATTTGACTAATTAATATGCATGGGAAAAATACATTCTACCTATAGTCAAGATATTCAGTTGAGGCTTATAATTATATACTGTACCATTTTAAAAGCATAGTAAACTAGCTGGAGTGATAGTACAGTGGGTGGGGTGTTTGCCTTGCATGTGGTGAACCCGGGTTCGATTCCTTCGTTTTTATCAGAGAGCCCAGCAAGCTACTAAGAGTATCCCGCCTGCATAGCAGAGCCTGGCAATCATCCTGTGGTGTATTCGATATGCCAAAAACAGTAACATCAAGTCTCACAATGGAGACATTACTGGTACCCGCTCAAGCAAATTGATGAACAATGGGAGGACAGTGCTACACTGCTACAGTAAACAAGCACAACAAATTATATTACTTTACAAATTACATCCAGACTTACCTAGATTCTAGATCCAAGGTAATTTCCTTCAGAGAAGTATCTGAATCATCTAAGACTTTTTCCAAGTTTTTATGTTTCTCCATTTCTTCCAATTCTTTTAGGCACTGATAATACTGATGGAAAATGATAAATGACACAATGATAAAATAATCAATTCCTAAATAAATATTTTTTTATAAATATATGGAAAAATAGCTACTAGTACATAAGGTACTCTCTATCTCCCCCTGTCTCCTGGTTTCCAAACACCAACAGGATAGTAGAAGAAATAAACTGGTTTAGGTCAATAATTTATATTATGGGATAAATTGGAATCCGATTCATTAGCAAATGAACTTTGCTTACCTTAGCTCGATCAGGATCACAGTAATCCAAGAGAGAATCACAAAAATGATATCCCATTGATTCCAGGTCTTTTGTGTTGAAATGAGTGCCTCGTTTATTACCTAAAACATCAGTAAGTTTATCCACCCTTGAGCATGAGTTAATCTCTTTTCCTTAACAGGTAGGCCTAAGTTGCAAAACAGATAGTGTAAGAAAAACATCCACTCTGATTCCACGTCCTGTCCTTTCTGGTTTTCTTTTCTGAGTAGGACACTTAACAAGTTACTGCTTCCCCCATTTTCTCATCAACACTGGTCCAAAGCTGATTTAACACAGATTAGTCTATCTTGTAAGGCAGAATATTCATTAAGAATGTTATGGATTTCTATAACTGAAACCCAAGCACAAAAATTTGTAAGTCTACAACTGTACCTCATGGTGTTTCACTAATAAAAATTAAAAAAAAATAATGTTATGGATTTCTTGTTTACCAGTTATAAATATCCTTAATAATTAGGTAAAGAGAACTTGGATAAATATTTTAGAATTTTCATCATCTTTAATAGTGTTACTAGTTTTAAAATGTGTTTGAAAAGTAGCCAGATATTATATGTACAGATTTCTAGCACTTCCTTTGAGTTAATATTTTTTCTGACAAGGTGATAACCTTAAATATAAAATTATTGATTATAATGTGATAAAAGATTTAAGTGACACTAGAATGCACACTTTTATTAAGTACAAGTAATCAAGAACTTCCATTAAAATATTAATTGACAAAAATAATTCAGCCTATTTTGCCCTGAAAATAGCAAATCCTTTCAAAACATGTTGAGTCTTAAACATACTTAAAATGACTATTTTAAGTATGATTATTGTTTTTTATTGAAATTAATTATTAGAATCATTTGAAGATCAATCATGAGAAACCAACTAGTATTCTATATTTATATAAATACATGACATTTATATGTAAAAACTTTCATTTCTAAACAAAGGAAAATGAGGTAAAGACACATACAGTGAGGACTTGTTGATTCAAAGTATTTATAGATTAGATGAGATAAAAGTTTTTAGATAAGCTCACTCTCAAACTGTCTCCACTATTTACTTTAAAAACGTCACTTTGGTTTCAAGTCACGAATGAGAACACTTGATCTTACCCAGAGTAGATCCACAAAAAGTAGCCTCCATGGTAAAGCTGTTCCTGATTCCCATTCTCCACATCACCACCCTTCCTGTTCCCTCTTTACTCTTCTGGATATTAAACTTGCAAGCTGAGAATGAGAACTGAAAAGAAGTAAAAAAAAAATTTACTATTTTTCTGTCAACTACTGTCTTTCTTAGAAAGTAGAAGAAAAAAAATTAAAGTACCTGTGCAAAAGTATTGAAAACACTCTAAAGCATCAGGGGCAGCTTTTATTTCCAGACCAATAAAAATAATTCATTTCAAGGATGACATATTTATATTTTTGAGAATTACACATTTAAAATTTGACAACATAGTTTACTATTTATCTACATATAACAAAGGCTTTCAAAACAGTTAATTAACTCTTAATACTACTACAACAAGATCCTACACTTTGAACAAGCTACAGAATGGGGCTTAAATATGTTTAGACAAGATTGGCGTATAGACTATCAGAATATTACAAAGATACTGTAAAATAGAATAAAGATACTTTTTTTTTATAAAAGAGCATTTTAAAGCTGTCCTAAGACAATGGTATAATATCAGTCTTTACAAAGAGTGAGATATTTTATTTTTAAATAATATACAGGGGCTGGAGCGATAGTACAGTGGGTAGGGCACTTGCCTTTCATGTGGCTGACCCAGGTTTGATCCCTGGAACCCCACATGGTCATCTGAGCCCTCCAGAAGTGATCCCTGAGTACAGAGCTAGGAGACAGCCCTGAGAAACACCAGGTGTGGCCCTCAAACCAAAACCAAACAAACCAACAACATACAATGAGATTTCCTTGTGTTTCATTCTATAAATTTTAACACTTGTATGGATCTGAGTAACTTTTACTATGATAGGTATATATCATGATTCCATCACCTGTAAAATGCTCTCTGGTACTATACCTTCACTGCAGATGTTTAATTTATTTTGCAGCTATGGTAAATAGTATTGTTTTAAATTTTGGTTTCTGATAGTTCCTGTGAGTATATAGAAATGGTATAAATTTTGTGGGATGACCTTGTATACTACAATAATTCTAAACTGACAGGCCTTGAAGGTTTTTTTTTTTTTTTTTTTTTTTTGCTTTTTGGGTCACACCCAGCGATGCACAGGAGTTACTGCTGGTTCATGCACTCAGGAATTACTCCTGGCGGTGCTCGGGGGACCATATGGGATACTGGGAATTGAATCTGGGTCGGCTGCATGCAAGGCAAATGCCCTACCGGCTGTGCTATTGCTCCAGCTCCGCCTTGAAATTTTTTGAGTGAAGTTTCTATGAAGACAATCTTATCATCTTGGTTATTTTTTTTCAATTAATAATTTTGACAATATTACTAACAATAAATTATTTTTATTAATCTAGTACAATGTGCCAGTTACCTTTCATGTTCTTTATTAATATCATTATCATTTTTATTAGTGAAACACCATGGGGTACAGTTGTAGACTTACAATTTTTTGTGCTTGGGTTTCAGTTTTACAATGATTGAGTACACATACCTCCACCAGTGCCCATTCTCCACCTCCAGTGCTCCCAGTGCTCCTACCCCTCATCTTGGTTACTTCTTCATTTCCAATTTGTCTACCCTTTTTTCCCCCTTCAGTCAAGTCAGAGAGATTTATTGTACATGTGTTACACTCAACCACAACCAAGAACAGAACTTAGTCCAGAGTATCAGGTCCAAGGCAAAGGACCAAGAGAGTACAAGCTGATTTTAGTATGAACAAGGAAGGTGTGTTTCTCAAAGGTGGTAGCATCCGTTGGATGATGATGTGTTTCAGATCCTTTTAGACAGCACTAAGTATTAGCTTGTACCAGCATCCCTGGCCTCCATCATTCCTTGCTTCTGCTCCTGTGGTTTTGATGGTGCACAGGTCCAGCAGGTGACTAGGACCTTTGCCTCAATTTTTGTGTTTTGTTCTTCAGCCTGTGCTTTCACTTGTTTCTCCACTGGGCTCTCATGGTGGCTTCTAGTCAGATGCCTCTATGATTGAGAACTGTCTGCCTTTTTTCCCCATCTGGAATTGGTGAGAACCTCCAGTAAAAGGCTGAATTGATGGGTTAAGAGTAAACAGCCTTGTCTTATTGTGATCTTAGGAATGGAACAAAACCAGTTTTCTGACATTAAGCATAGTAATGGGATAAAGAGCATTTCTTTATTTCAAATTATTGGCCACCAACATTCATAAAGTTGTTCCTTATGGTCAGTTTATAAACCAGTTAACTGAGCTAAATAAAAATATCTTTACTGTGTAAGATCACCCATTCTGTGTCTCACATGGGCAATGTTTATTAAAGGAAAAGTGAAAATCGTAGATGCTTACTTTATCTGGACAATTTTTGCTCAGCATAAATGGGAAGATTCGTTGCTGTAAATACAATGCTTTGCACCGGTCACTGCCATCGCAGCCATACATGAAGATATTCTCTTTCCTACTATGCCCGTGAAGGTCACAATATAAAATAACCTCTCGTTTCTCCATTAATCTATCAAGGACAACAAAGAAGTTACTAATTACCTGTGCAACTTTCTTCAATGAACACAATTATTAATTTAGAAGCTTAATATACAGATAGAATATCTTATAGATTTCAATTTTTATTCATTCTGTACATTAATACATATGGTTTTAAAAAGTCTGCAATAGTTTACCATTTATAAAATGTAAATGCTTTCATCTTCTATTTGTCAGGCATGACTTGCCTTACTCCTAAGATTTTCTTTTTCTGGGGAGCTGGCACACCCAACGATACTCAGGGGTTACTCCTGACTGTACCAGGATGCTCAGAAAACTAAATAGTATGCCGAGAATCAAACCTGGGTCAGCCACATCCAAGGCAAGTGCCCTACCTACTTTACTATCTCTCCAGCCTCCTACTTCTAAGATTTTCTCCACCAGGAATCCTCTTCTTTATTGTTCAGGTTTTCTGTGTACACTCATTTTTATCTTTACTCCTTAGTTCTCATATGGATTCTTTCTGACTAGAATTCAATCCTCATTTTTGTAAATTCAAACATTACCCCTAATCCCCCAAGGAAACATCATTTCCCTTTCTATCTAGTTAAGCTATCTGATATATTCACACTGAACCTAATACTGGCACTAATTACTTGGCTCGTGTTTAGGAAAGTTTTACATTTAATTATGTTAAGATAAACAATGTTTTAAATAACTTCAAATAAGAACAGTGTTATGCATACTAGTATCCAAATACTTGTTAGAAATTGAGGGCCTGTGATTTGACACTGAAGCCAAGTAATATTTAACATTAATGAATATGGCGGGATATTTTGAAAAAACAGTACCGTGTGAATTGATCTTTTTCTGATAGATTTCCAAATGAATAAAGGAAATTATTAAATATTATTAAACATTTCCTAAAGAGCCCAATTATTAGCCTAGACAATATAAGGAGTCAATAAATACAAAAATATAAAAAAAAACAAGCTTCTCAAATTGATGAAAATAAGAAGGTTTTCAAAGGTTAAAAAAGAAGTGGTATGGCAATGATAGCTGGAAATGATCACTCTGGATAAGAACTGAGTGCTGAAAAGAGATAAAGTAGGAGGGAGGGGGGAAAGAGAGAGACAGAAGGAGAGAGAGAGACAGAGAGAAGAAAAGTATCTGCCATAGAGACAGGCTGAGGTGGTGAGGTTGGCGGGAGGGAAACAGGGGACATTAAGTGGTGGAAAATGTACACTGGTGAAGGGACCAGTGGTAGAACATTGCATAACTGAAACTCAACCATGAACAACTTTGTAACTGTGTTATCTCATGATGATTCAATAAAAAAAATTTTTTAAGTGATGTTTAAATGAGTATAGGAGAAAGCCCTGAGAACTGCTGGTGTGGGCTCCCCATCCACAAAAATTTAAAAAGTAGAGAATTCCCATTTACTTCTCTTACAAAGTTTCCTGTGACGGTAGCATAACCATGGCACACTATCAAAATGAAGAAACCAACAAAAACTCCCCCCACCCCCATCTTATTTGGAATTCATTCTTTTTTTCCATGAATGGCCTTTTCTATCCTGTAATCCAACCCAGGGTACCCAGGTATTGCACTGTGAATCCCTTTTCATGATTTTCCAATATTAGGAAAACACACTGAAACAATTCCTAGATAACATCAAGGGATCTTGGAGGCCACAACTGTAAGGGGTATAAAACCAGGATTTTCAGTCCTTTCGGTGGGGATCTCCAACTGTTAAATGCATCTGGGACTGGGCCATAGTACAGCAGGAAAGGCTCTTGCCTTGCATGCGGTTGACACAGTTTCAATCTCCGGCACCCCATATGGTCCAGGAGTGATTCTCATCACAGAGCCAGGAGTAAGCCCTGAGCACCACTGGGTGTGGCTCAAAAACAAAAATTTTGCTTTTAAATTGCTCACGAAAACACAGTTGGGAAATTATACAGCATGGATTATGATCTAATCTGTTGAACTTTAGACACCAGACCTGTGTGTGTGTGTGTGTGTGTGTGTGTGTGTGTGTGTGTGTGTGTGTGTAACCAGAGATCACACCCAGGGACTCACATATGCATGGCATATGCTCTTGCAGTAACCCATACCCCTGGCTCCAGATTCCACACATTTAACTGAAAAATTAGGAGCTTTTGAACTTGGAATGGATAAGTTCCCATTCCAGTAATTTCTGATTTTAGCAGATGACTATTGCTAATGCTTACATGTATGTAAAAATTCACCAAGTCTGGTGTTGAAACATTGTGTGCCTGAAATAATCATAAATAACTTTGTAAATCATGGTGACTTAAAAATATATTCGTTATGGACCGGAGTGATAGTACAGTGGGCAAGGCGTTTACCTTGCACTCAGCCAACCTTGATTTGATCCCTGAGATCCTATATGCTCCTCTGAGTCTACCAGGAGTGATCCTTAGTACAGAGCAGGGGGTAACTCCTGAGCATCACAGGTGTGGCCCCCAAAATATTGTAAGATAAAAATAATTCACCTATTCAGAAAAGGTACTTTAAATATTAAGTATATAGGGTGTTTGCCTTGTGAGCGGCTGACCCGACCGACCGGGGTTCAAGTCCTCTGTCACTCTCGGAGAGCCTGGCAAGCTACTGAGAGTATCTCGCCCTCATGGCAAAACCTGGCAAGTTACCCATGACGCATCCGATATGCCAGAAACAGTAGCACAATAGAGACATTACTGGGCCCGCTCAAGCAAAATCGATGAACAACGGGAGGATAGTGACACTGACAGTTCTTTGGAAAATTTAAAGCTATTTATTTTTTCCCCTAGGGGCAGATATCATTAAAGTTTATTATTAAACTTTTATCATCAAAGTTTAAACACTTGACAACCTGCTAATCAGAAGTCTCATAAGCAATCTAATTAGTGTTCACACAAAAGTAATTTCATGATCCCAAAGTAAACACAGAAATCTAGAAAGGTATAGAAGGAGAGATAGAAGGAGAGCTGGAAAATTAAGTAGATAGAAACAGTCTTTAGAAAAGTTAGAGGAAAACAAATAGGACTGTGGGATCAAAATTCTTGTTTCCACGTTTACTAAATAAGCAGAACAATCATTTCAGCCTTATTTTACCTACGAATCATGTTCCGGGTATACCAAACAGAAGGGTATGACTCCTTCAGAAGAGATGTATAGTTACGGTTTAAATCCCGTCCAGCTAGTGAACACCGGTAATTTCCCACTATCACACCGTCCGGATTCAGCATAGGTACCACCTTGAAGATGAATGTATCCCGAAGTAGTTGTGCATCACTCGAGTCTCCTAATATATAATCTAAGAAGCCTTTCATGATCCAAGAGCTGTTGGTTTCTCCTGGATGTACCCTTGCAGTCAAAATCACGGCCTTTCGCTTTCTTAAGTCAGAGTTCTTCAAGGGGGTAGTAATCGTTAAAACATACACCATGTTCCTAGCAATCGTGTGGCACAAGACACGTATGTTACAAAACTTTGACCGTACTGGGTCATTATTGATGTTAGAAAGGTATTCTTGCAGGTTAGTGTAAGTATACGGATAACAGTGAGCAAAATAGCAGGTATCTTTGTTGTGTGGAAATTGAAATGTCCACGTAAGAGAGAAATAATGGCGCCCATCTTGCCCTGGGTTGCTTCTATAGTACTTGATTTGGTCTCCTGTTCGCTGCCAGCCTATATTATGAGCTGTGGCTTCTTTCTCAGAGTAAAACAATGGACGCATACCCCGATTATAAAGGCTAGCAGGCTTGGTGAAATTTATGATAGTGAATCTGTAGGGTTTTCCTGCTTGGGTATTAGTGACTTGGAAATAGTACCACTGGGTGTGTTTATTTGTGAAGAGATCTGGGCGCACAGTCAACTGGTACTCATAATCTGCCCTAGTACACAGAAAAGGAAGGGGGAAAGCACGTAAAAATACAAAAATTACTCTCAAGTTTAAATTAAATACATAAGATTTTTCATACCTATTCATAGAAAGCCTTTGGGGGTGGAGGGAATAATGTTTATTTAAACACCAGCAATTAACCAATAGCAAGTAATTGTAAGAGAGTAAAGTTCAGAAATTTCCTTTCATTGGATGTGAAACTGTATCTAGGGCTAATTCTGAAGTCTCCTGATTTCTTTGTAATTCAAGGAGCACATAAAAATGGGTGTTTAATAGACAATTTTAAATTCTGATACAAGTATGCTTCCTTTAAAAGAAATGATTAACGAGAACTTGAAGTTGAATTAGAACACAATGTGTTTCCTTAAATTCAGACATATGCTTTCTATTCATTTCTAACTATGGTGATCTGAAAAAACCAAAGGCTTGAAACAAAATTAATTTTACCAAATAGATTACAAGTAGACTATATAAATTTAAATTTTTTGAGGACAGGGACTATAATAACTGTATACTCATTACTTATTGAGGATAGTTAAATAAGGACAAAATTATTTCACTGATATGTTATAACAAGACTTAGCTGGATAGCTATGATTTTTTTCCTTTACCAAATAACTTGGTACTCTATTAGCATTATATACGTGTGTGTGTGTGTGTGTGTGTGTGTGTGTGCGTGTGTGTGTGTAAATGATTATACCTAGGACAGGTGAATAAATGTTGCAATACCTGGATCACTATTGAGTCTAAGTAATATTGCCAATGCAGAATTGAATTTTTTCTGCACTCAGCGTATGTTACAAAATTTTCACAATAATTTTTTAAAAGAGTGCTCACTGATAGCAAATACATTCTCAGGGATATATCATGGATTAAAAATCCAAACAATGACTGTATTAATATGCTTGAAAAGTATTTTGTAATTCAGAATGACATATTAAAAATGTATGGTACTGGGGCTGGCGTGATAGCACAGTGGGTAGGGTGTTTGTCTTGCACGCGGCCGACCTGGGTTCTATTCCCAGCATCCTATGTGATCCCCTGAGCACCACCAGGAGTAATTCCCGAGTGCATAGCCAGGAGTAACCCCTGTGCATCACTGGGTGTGACCCAAAAAGCAAAAAAATAATAATAATAATAAAATAAAATACATGGTACAGAGGCCAGAGAGATAGTACAGCTATTAAGGTATGTAGTCTTGCATATAGATTACCTGGTTTTGATCCGCAGAGCCACATGTGGTCTCTTAAGCACTGCCAGGAGTAAGCCCTGAGCACCACTGGGCATGGCCCCCAAATAAAAGTAAAGAATAAGTACGGTGCAGAAACTTGCTTAACTTTAACTTCTCACTCTCAAAATTACTTTAACCTAGAAACTTTATTATCCCTTCAATAATATCTAATTAACATCTCTATTTCAAGGAGAAGATACCGAAACTTGAATGTGCCTAACATAGAAAATAACGGTTAAGTTCTAGATCCGCAAACAAGAATAATTAAGACCTACACTTTGACTACCTTCTGTAGATTCCCACTCTCAAACCTTGCTTCAAATATCAAAGTGTCATCACAGTTGTCCACAGGCTGCTTCAGGGGTGTTCGGTTACCTCCCACTCGGGAATATACAAAACATGGTTCTTTGTAAACTGATAAGAAAAGAATATACATATATTTATATGTATGTTTTATATATATTTAAAAACAAACATCTATGGGGGGGGGGGAGAGAGAGGTATCAGGTTCTGTTTATATTCCCTAGGCCTGTCTGTACAGAATTGGAAACTACAGCACAACTCTAATTGAAGTATTACTAAGGCCTGCAAATGTAAAGTAAGATGACATTAAGATAGAGATTTATGTTGAAGTAATAAGGTCTAAGAGCAGTTAAACTAGAAAAATATTGCCCAAAATAAATCAATGTTTTTCTCACATTATTAGAATTTACCCCAATTCTGGTTTGATGACCTAATTGGTCCTAAACTTGTCCTTTTATAGTCATTTATAGACTATAAACCTGTACCAAAAAAAAAAAAGACATGAGTTGTTCGATACATTTGGAGTATGTCCATATTTAATCCTGCCTTTCTCTCTGGGTTCCTTTTTCCAAGAGAGTCAAGATTGTGTCTGAGGGCTCTTACACTGGTGAGGGCAGTACAAGAAGAAAGCGACATAAAGGAAGAATGTTAAGAATCTGCATGATGACTTCCTAATCCTTAGCTGAGGGCGTGTGTATACACGTATAGAATATGATCAAGCAAATCAAGAAAGAGTGCTAATGGGACCCCCCCCCCCCCACACACACACACACACAAGAATGTGATATTGGTTTGGAGAGATAGTACAGAGGCTAGGGTGCTTGCCTCACACACAGCCAACCTGAGTTTATTTAGTTTTTTTACTTTTTAAAAATTTTTAGTTAAAAAAAAAATTTTTTTTTTTTTTGCTTTTTGGGTCACACCCCGCGATGCTCAGGGGTTACTCCTGGCTCATGCACTCAGGAATTACTCCTGGCGGTGCTCGGGGGACCATATGGGATGCTGGGAATCGAACCTGGGTCAGCCATGTTGGCTGTGTGCAAGGCAAACGCCCTACCCGCTGTGCTATCGCTCCAGCCCCTAGTTAAATTTTTTTAAATTAACTATTATTGAATCACTGTGATAGACCTTAAAAAGCTATTCATGATTAGTTTTCAGTCACACAATCTTTCAACACCCATCCCTCCACCAGTGTACATTTCCCAGCATCAATGTCCCTAGTTTCCCTCCCATCACTTTCCCCTACACAAAACTGCCTCAATGGCAGATGCCTTCCCTTTCTCCCTTCCTCCATTCCTCCCTCCCTTCCCTCTCTCCCTCTCTCTCCCTCCTTTCTGTCTATCTCCTTCTCCCTCTCCCTCCCTCCTTTTGGGAATTGTGGTTCCTGAATTGCAATACAGATACTGAAAAAATTATCTGTATATCTTTTACCTACTTTCAACACTCAGTTCTTGTCCAATGTGATTATTTCCAGCTATTATTGTTATACTGGAATAATCTATCTTACCTCTGCCCCCACACACACCCACACCCAATCTAGGTTTAGTCCCTGGCACTGTACACAGTTCCCAGAGCATCGCCAGGCGTGATTCCTGAGCACAGAGCCTAGAGCAAATCCTGAGCACTGTTAGCTGTGGCTCCCCAAAGCAAAATGAAACAAGAATGTGATCTTTTACTTGAGGAAAAAATAATAGTTGTAGAGCACTCCCGCTGGTCATCTTTGAAAACTGATGTGAGGCGTAATTCTTTCTAAATCTAATTCTCCATTCAAAGGACCAATGCAAGCTCTTATTTAAAAGCAATGTTGTATAAACCGCAGTAATCCTTCAAAAATATAATTAGCACCAAATCAACATTTGAATCAACATGTAACTAAATATGTTTATGGAGAGAGGAGCAACCTGGTTATCTGAAACTGCCACAACAAACAGCTAAAGAAATGTTACTCGGAGAGCCCGGCAAGCTACCGAGAGTATTCGATATGCCAAACACAGTAACAACTAAGGATTTAAATAAAAATTTAAATATGCTCACCGTCTTCAGCTAGATAAACAACTGTATCTTCCTTGGAATTTAGATAGAGGGGTTCTATCTCCAGGCCAGTTGGAACGTACACTGGCTCAGGATGAGAAGGAGTCCATTCTGGGGGGAAAAAATGAAAAAAAAACATTATTTGAATAGGACCTTCAAAATAAAACAGGAAGATTTTATTGCATATTTTCAAACTACTTCATTGATAGATTGAGACTGAAATCGTTGTGTCTTATAGGGCTGGCTTTTACCCGTGTTCACAGGATTAATGAACCTGTCACAGGACAGCAGAACTTGTAACATGTCATTCGCACCTTATTGCAAATCACTATATGAAGCATAGTTCATCATTATTTTGTCTCATTATTGATTTTACAATAAAATTTCTGCATCTCTGGAGCACCACATACCTTTGGTCCACCTCTACTTTTTATTCTCCCCTTTCCTCACCTGCCTTCTTGTTTGATAATGGTTGTTCCCTGAGCACGTTCAAGTTTCTTCTCTCTCCTCAAAGACTATCGTTAGACCCCTTTTCTTCTCTTTAGTTATTCCAAATTTCCTTTATCACTTTGGAGACAAATTTTTCCACTTCTTCATTTTTCTTTTAAAGATGGCTGGCATTTTATTTAAAAAAATTTTTTTGAGGTGGTAAAGGTCAAACAAACCCAGGACTCAGTTTGAATCTATCCTAAAGCTGTTGAAAGCTGGGATTATTTAAAAAAAATACATCTGAGTTCTCTTGACACAGTGATCCACACGATGTTCAAGAAGTGTTCTGGATCTCAGACATTAAAGGGATTGCAAAGAGATTCTTTTTTTTTTAAATTTTTATTAGTGAAACACCATGAAGTACAGTTGTAAACTTACAAATTTTTGTGCTGGGGTTTCAGTTATACAATGATTGAGTACCCATCCCTCCACCAGTGCTCATTCCTGACACCCAGTGCTCCAGCATCCCTCCCATCCCCACCCCCCATCCCACCTCACCCCTGTGGCAGGGCATTCCCTTTTGTTCTCTCTCTCCTTTTGGGTGCTGTGGTTTTCAAAAGAGGCACTAAGTGCACTATGTTCGGTCTATCGTCTACTTTCAGCATGCATCTCTCATCCTGGGAGGATCCTCCCAACACCCTTTACTTGGTGCTCCTCTCTCTATCTGAGCTGCCTTCTCCCCCAGCACATGAGGCTGGCCTCCAAGCCATGGAGTGAACCTCCTGGTACTTATCTTGGCTATTCTTGGGTGTTAGTCTCCCATTTTGTTACTTTATATTCCCCAGATGAACGTAAGTTTTCTATGTCTGTCCCTCTCTGACTCATTTTGCAAAGAGATTCTTAATGGGAAGATTCTATAGGAGCAAAGGAAGTTCCTGGCTGGTTAACAGACACCACTGAACAATAATAGTTGGGAATTTTGTCTATTTTCCCCCCACTGTGGGTATGCTTCAATAGTTGATTTCATGACATGCATTACCATAAATTGTTGTTAGTTCTTTTATAGGGACCACACTTTGTTGTATTTGGGGTGCCATGTGGTGCTGAGATAGAATTCAGGATTTCACACATGCAAAGCATGTCCAAATACAACAAAAATCAATATTCTCAGCTCATTGATTTTTTTTTTTTTGTTTATTTTGGTTTTTGAAGTTTTGGGCCACCCCTGTATATGCTCAGTGTCAGTTCTGGCAGTATTTACTTATCTTAGGAGCTCATCTGTGGTGCTGGGGATATCAAACCAGGGACATCCTCATGAAAGGCCAGAGCATCTGTGGTGCTGAGGGCATCGAACCAAAGACAGACTCATGAAAGGCCTGAGTCTTCCTCCTGGACTGTCTCTCCAACGATGTCCATTCATTTACTTTTGGATTTTCATTTTCACTTCATTTAATCATCCTGTTATTCGTCGATTGTCTCGAGCAGGCCCCAGTAACGTCTCTTTCATCCTAGCCCTGAGATTATATTCAAGGCTCTTTAGGAGAATGAGACCCATCATTGTTACTGGTATTTGGCATATTGGGTACGCCACGGGGAGTTTGCCAGACTCTGCCCTGTGGGCAGGCTACATTCGATAGCCTGCAAGTTTGTCCAAAGTAGGAATGAGATAAAAAGATGTCATAAAAAAGATGTCCTGATAAGATGTCGCGCGGCCGCGTGGTTCCGGGAGCTGGATTTTATAGTCTCTGAGTCTTGGCCGTTGATGGGATTACATGGCGCCAGGGGGCCATGTGGTGGGTGTGACCCCCGCCTACTGGAACTTGGAGGATCTGGGTGGAGGATGCTCGACTCCAATCCGAGTAGGCTTGGAGATCTCGGCCCCGGAACCCGCATGGATTTGTCCCTCTGCCAGTACCTTCATGTGTGTGGAGAGTGGTCTCAGCATGGTGGTGGCTGGTCCTGGAGGTCTTCGGCTGCCGGAGCCCTGGTCGGGGCAGGGAGGAAAGCTCAACCCGCTCCCCTCCAAGGGGCCCTGGCGAGGAACAGCCAGGCGTGGGGGCAGGAGACTGCACTGTTCTCGTCCGGGAGCTGGATTTTATAGTCTCTGGATCTTGGCCATTGATGGGATTACACGGCGCCAGGGAGCCATGTGGTGGGTGTGATCCCCGCCTACTGGAACTTGGAGGATCTGGGTGGAGGATGCTCGACTCCAATCCGAGTAGGCTTGGAGATCTCGGCCCCGGAACCCGCGTGGATTTGTCCCTCTGCCAGTACCTTCATGTGTGCAGAGAGTGGTCTTAGCATGGTAGTGGCTGGTCCTGGAGGTCTCCTGCCCCCGCGCCTGGCTGTTCCTCTCCGGGGCCTCTTGGAGGGGAGCGGGTTGAGCTTTCCTCCCCACCCCAACCAGGGCTCCGGTAGCCGAAGACCTCCAGGACTTTTGGATGCTAAAAAGAATACTGAACTTTTATATAAATTGGTCATGACATCATTATTTTTATTTGCTGCTGTATTTAGTTATCTAGCATTTTGTAGAATTTTGAATTTATATCCATAATAGATATTAGCTTCTTTTTTATATATATAATGTAGGAGAACTGCTATTTATTCAGCCATTGATTAAGCTGATTGAATTGGGCATGAAGTCCACATTACTTTTTTATTATTCATAATTTAATTTTATTATTATTATTATTATTAATCCCTGTGATATACAATTATAAAGATTTTCACTTTTGAGTTTCAGTCACACAATGATTGATCACCCAATCCTCCACCAGTGCACATCTCCCACCACCAAGGTCTCTAGTATCCCCCCCTCCTACAACCCCTCCCTCTGCCTCGATGGCAGACAATCTCCTCCATACTCTCTTTTGAATTGCCTGTTATGAATAGCATAAGATTTCATGGCTGCGCTCTCCTGGAATTCTAAAATTTAGATAGTCAGGGTCTGGAGAAATCTCTGTAGCAAGCTGCTCAGTTTGGAGATTCTATTGTGTGTCTCTGGATCATGGCTCTTAAGGAGCTTAAGTAGCAGCCGGAGAAAGTTAATGGGTGTGACATCCAGGGTCCCATGGGGACAAGGAGATGAGAGGAATCAGCCCATCCCCTATCCCTTGAGGCCTGGAGTTTGCCGTCACTGAACCCATGTATCTGCACTTCTCATGGGGTTCTTGGAGTTGGTGGCCGCTGGGGATGTTAGGGGGCAGGTGGTGGAATGACACCTGCCCCTGTCTGAGGCACCCAGGTGAAGTCAGCCTGGCTTAAAGTCCGGAGGCATCTCTGCAGCGAGCTGCTCGGTTTAGTGATTCTTTTGTGTGTTTCTGAATCATGACCCTTGTTTCCATCTTTTCCAGAGAATAAACTATTGGCTAATGTGCTGCCAGCCCTAACTACACCTTTTGAACTCTTTCGGGATTAGTGGGTCTTGGAAATAAGGCCAATAAATTAGCTTGTATAGCTGAGACAGGGGTGGTTCGTGGGTGTGGCTCCCACATACCTAACTTATGGCCACTTAATTTCTTGGTAAAATTGGACCCAAGTTGTTGGGATCCGGCCAAAGGCACAGTGTCAATTTTGGGGTAGCAGGAAGTCTGATGGCTGCTGATGCACTATATTAGCTTCTTGTCATGGCAAAAGGCAAAGAGCAAACAGGTAAAAAAAAATGTGCAGGGGCTGGAGCAATAGCACAGCGGGTAGGGCGTTTGCCTTGCACGCAGTCAACCCAGGTTCGATTCCCAACATCCCATATGGGTCCCCTGAATACCACCATGAGTGATTCCTGAGTGCAGAGCCAGGAGTAACCCCTGTGCATTGCCAGGTGTGACCCCAAAAAACAAAAAAAATCATGCAATATATATGACACAGTAAACCTAGCAGAATATTTACTGATGCGGAAGAAAATAAAAATACAAAAAAATAAAATAGGCAACTAAAGTTCACACAGAAACTCAATACATTCCTTAGTCACCTGTATGTCTTTTTCAGAGATATGTGTCCTAGTCTACTGAATTGTAGAAACTTCTTACATATTTTAGAGATTAACCTTGATTGGATACATGGTTTGCAAGTATTTTTCCCATTTCATAGGATGAGGTTTTTTTTTTCCACAATCGTTTCCTTTTATGTGCAGACATTTTAAGTTTAATGGGGTCCTGCTTGTTTATTACTTTTAGTATCATGCCGATATCACCAAAGGTAAGGTTGTGAAATATTTCCTCTACATTTTCTTCTAGAAATTTTACAGTTTCAGGTTTTTATGTTAAAGTCTTTAGTCCATTTTGAACTGTCTTTTTGGGGAGGGAGTGTTTTGGGCCAACCTGACACACTCAGGGCCTATTCCTTGATCTGTGCTCAGGGATAACTTCTGGAAGTGCTTGAGCAATCATATACGGTGCTAATTATTGAACCTGTGTTGGCCGTGTGCAAGACAAATACCTTATTTGCTATGTAAGATGGCTCTTTGGCTGTCTTTTTGATCTGGTGTAAGATGTGGCTCCAATTTTTTTTCATATTAATATTCACGATTTTTTTAAACAAAATTTGAAGAGACCCTCCTTTTCTCATTGTATTAGCATTTGTGTCAAGATTAGTTGATAATATGTAAGTTTTTTTTTGCCTCTCTGCTCTGCTTCATTAGCTTTTGTGTTATATGCCAGTATTATAATACTTTGATTACTATAATTTTATGATATATTTTAAAATCAAACTTTCATGTCCCCCAGCTTTTTCTTTGTCAAAACTTTTTTTGTGTATAATTCCATCTGAATTTTTTTTTTTTTTGCTTTTTGGGTCACACCTAGCGATGCACAGGTGTTACTCCTGGCTCTGCACTCAGGAATTACCCCTGGCGGTGCTCAGGGGACCATATGGGATGCTGGGAATTGAACCTGGGTTGGTCGCGTGCAAGGTAAATGCCCTACCTGCTGTGCTATTGCTTCAGCCCCTCCATCTGAATTTTACGGTGTTTTATTTTTTGTTGTTACTTAAAAATGCCATAGGTATTTTGATAGGGACTGCACTGTCAATATCACTTATCTTCAGGAAAATGTAAGTCAAAGTAATAGTGAGATATCATCACATAGTTGTCAGGATAGCTATTGTTAAAAAAAATGGGACAAGTACTGGTGAGAATATAAATAAATTAGAGGACTTGTACACTTGTATACTATTGGTGAGAATAAAAATGTTGCCACCAATATGAGAAACATTATGGTTCTTTTAAAAATTAAAAATACAACTATTAGAAGATTTTGTGACTCTACTTCCATTTACAAAAGCAGCAGAATAAGGGACCTTGTAGATATTTATGTACCTATTAACTGCAGAAATACAATATCCAACATAAGTAAATAACCTACATGTCCACCAATGGATAAAGTATGCTATTATACAAAGGTAGGTACTTCAAATTTTAAAAGGAAATCTTGCAAAAGGAAACAATATAAAGTATGAAGTCATTAAACTATAAGAAACATTATTGAAAGACGATCTAATACCAAGATTTTACTTACATGAAATACCTAAAATTATCAATGTCATGTAAGAAATCAAGATGGTAGGGACTGCTATCGACAAGCAGGAGGTGGAAAATGACATACAGCTAATTGTTAGTTTTAAAGCTTCAATAATGCAAGACAGGTGCATTCTGGAACAACATGGTACCTGTAGTTAGTACTATTGCACACTTAAAGATATATGAAGGCAGGTCCCCTATTAGTTGTTCTTATCACAATCAAAAAACTAAGTAACTCAATATACAACGATGCTTATGGTAACTCATTAAAATATATATAAGCAAAAGCAACAACACACATAAAGCAGAGTGTTAGGTTGTAAAAAATCAGAGAAAAGAGAGGTAAAACAAAAGTGTTGAACGTGTCTGGGAAAAAAGGCACCCTCGCTGTGTAGTAAAGGATTAACTCAGTAGGCACGGGGTGTTCAAATGCCGCACACACAGAAGGATTTGGCCCTTGTGCAACTTCTAGATGATAACCTCTAAGACCTTGGAATAACAGTCTGTTTGTCTAGGGAGACTGGGTCACATCAGAGATTATGCTAACAATATGATACATTGCGGAGGGGCTCTTGTCCCAGTGGTATTAATTTTTATAAGAGAGGGTAGAGACTGGACAGTTTAGGTCAAACATATGGTTACTGCACAAGGACATGACCAGCCTCTACTGGAAACCCTGCATGCAAATGCTTGAATGTGTTATTTTGACGGGCATAAATGTATCAGGTCTGGGCCATAAATATATAATAGTCAACACTTCAGAGGCAACAGGGTAATGAGAAGTGTGTGAAATGATGGATATATGTATCTTTTTATGATATATATATATATATATATATATATATATATATATATATAAACCTTGAGGACCGGAGTGAGACATAGCGGGCTACACCCATGCTCTGCATGCAGGAGCCCTGGGTCTGATCTCTAGTGCATGGTTCCTGAAACACTTCCAAGAGTGGCTTACAAAGCCAAAACCTAGACAAACAAAGGCTTGGGGAAATGCTAGAACTAAGTGGCACAGAGTATTTTCTCTGCTTGGTTGTTCCATGTTGTTGGATTTTATAACATTACGAAAGCTATGTTAGTGGTTTAAGTCTCTCTATTTAGGCCAACGGGTTACCAAAAACATGGAATATCAATGATCTGAATTGAAATGTAAGGACACCAAGTTCTGAAGACTTTATATAGAAAAAGAAGAAAATAGTTTCGGACAAACTTGAGTTAAATAAAAAAATGTATGTAGCCAATTTCACTTGCTTCTTTTTTATCATTTTAAATTCAGCTACTAAAAAACTCGTAATTTTTTATGGTTGTATTATATTTTGTTGTATTTTCTTTGGAACACCAAGAGTTTCCTTACTAAAACCAAGAGTGACAAAGTAAATCTGAAACCTGCTAATGTTTGAGCTCTCAAAACTGCTAAGAACATACCTATATGTTGGACTTTTTCATCAATGACCTCACAGTGGTATGGCCACCGTGTTGGGCTCAGAGGACCAGAAGAAGATACACCATATAAATCTCGGGGTTCTCGAAGACGTGGCACCCATCTCCCCAGCTGATATTCCAATACTATCTGTGTAGTCCGGGGAAAAAATGGGTCACTGATACTGTCAGCTGCAAAATGATTCAAATACAATTAATTGTAATAAGAAGAAAAAATCAGTTCCTATTAATTTTACTTTATTATACCATTGGCATTAAAATAAATATTATTTTTATTATTATTTTGGTTTTTGGACTACACTAGTGATGCTCAGGAATTACTACTGGCTCTGTGCTCAGAGATCACTTCTGGTAGTGCTTGGGGGACCATACTGGGTGCCAGGAATCAAACAAGATCAATGGCGTTCAAGGCAAATGCCCAAACTACTGTACTTTTGTTCCAGACACCTGGCATTTAAAAGTTAACAGTACTAATAAAATTTTCTAACAACTGACTTTCATAACCATTAAATAGCCGCTGACCCCATATATGGTTTATGTTAAATTCTCACTGTAACTCCCCAAACATTTGTTTCTTGCAGCTTTCCTAGCTAAACTTAGTCACACTAAGAAAAATATCTGTCTAATGAATTGTTAACTGTTACTCATTGACCACAATTCTTTACCATCTATATTCTCAAAAGTTGCTAGTGAACTCAGTCACAGCTTCTCAGTTCCCATTCTAGGGCCACTGTCTGACACATTCCCAGGAACAGGAATCAAAGTGCAATGGGGTTGTCCAACGAGGTAGCCAAAAGGCGCTGCCTTTTCAGGGGGACAGCTGTGGGGTGAGAATCTGAGCTGATAACCACTACTTGATCTCCTTTCCTTTGTCTTTTACAAGGCTGTAACACACCTAGGATTACCCCCTTTAACAAAGGTGCTATTCTATTTGTCTCACTGACTCCTCTAGTTGTTTCACTTTCAAATTATGACTTTTTTTTGACCCACAATAAATTTGGAGTTATTTTGAACAATCGCAGATATGGTCATTGCATGAGGAGTCTAAGTAATTTCTGTTCTACTGCTTTATTTCTATGTTATTTTGGTCTCTTGTAACATGACTCTTGCTACATCAAAATATGCAATAATATTACCCTCATTTGTTAACTTCTCAGGTTTTCTACTTAGATTCATTTATTTAAATATCCAGTTATTAAATATATACTACTATATATCAAAAACTATAAATACACACTAATGATACAGATGCAAAAAAAGTCCCACTGTCTTAACTGACACTGTAATTGAACATAGAAGAAAAAGGGAAGTAAGATAATTTCAGATGGAGATAAGTGTCATATCCCTTCAAATACAACAAATACAACTGAAAATAATAATGGGGTGTATTACTTAGGTGGGATGGTCAGGCAAGTCTCTTCTTCAGAGATAGAGAATCTGAGCTGAGTCTAACTGACAGGAGGACTCAGTTTGGGTATAAAATATGCCCACTCTGGACTATTGTAACATGACTGATAAGCAATCCTTAACTTAATAAAACTGACTTACAGGCAACTTGTGTTAGAGCAAAGCCCAGAGCTCTTTCACTGGACACACCAAAATCCACAATTGGCATGCAATAACAATAACATGCAATAACATGCAATAACAATAACATGCAATAACATGCAATAACAATAACAGAATAACAAATTCTGTTATTCACCCAAAAGTTAACAGGCAAGAATTCTAGCCCTTCTGTGCAACATAAGTATTGTATATAAGTCTCTCTCCTGTGATTACAACAAAGTAATATAAAACATATCTACTGGAAGAGTCTGCAAAGCAAACTAAAGCTAGTGGAGTGTGGAGTCAAAACTTAGAGAAGGGCCATGCAGATACATGGGTTTCCTCTTGCTTTGCTGAGAGACCAGCTCCATTCACCCTAACAGCCAGTGGTGGAAGTGGCTCAAGCTTAGAAAGAAAACCCCTCCTTCTTAACTGAAAGGTCCTCCCAATGTGAAGGGAATCTGAAAGAGAGGGGAAAAAAAAAAACAGAGAATATCATCCATCCTAGACCTGTGAATGAAACAGCATGCATCTCAGGCGTTTCTTAAGCTAAACAAGCAGACAGGTACTTACAAACATGAGAATGGAACTGGAACTTTAATAAAACACACACACATATTTCTCAGCTCCAACCTCAAATAATAATACTCATGTGCAGGACTATTCAGATCGGAGCTTAGAAAAGAGATCTGAATCATTTCCACAAATCTCAGAACCCCTGAACTATACAGCAATAGGAAAGACCAAACCAGCATATCAAAGTCTTAAGGATATGAACTGAGATTAGAAACTCTGCCTGCAGAGAGGAGGCAGAAATTTTAGAATCTAAAACTAACTGGGCTAGAGCCAGAGAAATAGTACTAAGATTAAGTTGCTTGTTTAGCATGCAGCTACAGCTATAACCCTGGCCGCCACAGATGAACCTGGCCACCACATATGACCCCTGAAAAACTTCAGAATCAGGTGTGTCCCTAAAACAAAAATAAATCCTTATGTGTCCATGAGCACTGAGCTAGGAGTAAGCCCTAAGTACTGCCAGGTGCGGCCCCAAGTCCAAAACAAACCAAAAAATTAACTAGACTAATTTCCTTCTAGAAGTACTGATATGGTCCAAAAGCACTCGATCTATATAACATAGCATTCATGGCTGAAGAATCAAAAATATACTGTTTTTACACAAAAAATAACAAATGCCAAAACATAACTGATTCACACATTGGATCTAAAAATGACTGTGAGTAAGTCATTACAATCAAAGGAAAAGCACAATTGGAATGAATGAAGTGATAGAAATTCATGGCCGAGACAGAAACATTGTTGATGGTAATGCGAAAGCAAGTGTAAAGCCATTTGGGAAAATAAGTCGTTCCGTAAGGTTGACTTCATACTTAGCATATGACCTAATAGTATCACTCTCAGATACTTAACAGAGTTGTATAAAAATATCCATGAGAACTTTATTCGTAGCTCAAAGATGAGAACAATTCAATAACCACCAATGCAAGAAAACACTATATTCTATTCACATAATACTATTCAACAATAAAAATAACCTTGAATTATGTGACTTCATGGATATAACTAAAAAAGCAAGATGCTAAGTCAAAGACAATATGTTATTCTGATTCTGTGAAACCTTTGCAGTTACAGTAGAGATAAAACAAATTCAAACTTTTGTTTTTACAAATCAAACATCTGTTTTTATGAATCAAACATTTGTTACTATGATAATAGATCATAAATAAATTAATAATAAATTTATTTTAAAAATGACCTCACATTCAGTTATATGACTCCAGATGGAGTTGAAACTGATAGTTTAAAAAGCTGAAATCTCCCAGGAGGGGAGATGCATGTCGAAAGTAGACTATGGACTGAACATGTTTGCCACTCAATGCCTCTTTTGCAGACCACAACAACCAAAAGGAGAGAGAGAACACAAGGGATTGCCCTGCCACAGAGGCAGGGTGGGATGGGGGGGTGGGGGTGGGAGGGATATTATCCATGGTGGTGGAAAATGGGCACTGGTGGAGGGATGGGTATTTGATCATCGTATAATCAAAACCCAAGCACAAAAAATTGTAAATCTACAACTGTACCTCATGGTGTTTCACTAATAATAATAAAAAAAGTAAATAAATAAATAAATAAATAGAGATCACCAAAAAAAAAAAAAGCTGAAATCTAGAAGAATACGAGCCAGATGGAGAATAGATGGAGAATAGTGTTTATACCTAAAGTGAAAATAAGTTTCAGGATGGTAGTGAAAAACGCAAGATATCCTAAAATGTTCTTCAATTTAAAAAATTGTGACAGATATGTACATATTTAGAAGACATAGTGTACATTTGAAATTGAGATAAAGATGTATTTGAATTTAAATGGAGGTACTTGTATTTCTAAAACATTTTATCTCTAAAACACTTTAACATCATAATAAAATTTGTATTTAGAGGCACTTGTATTTCTAAAACATTTGTATCTCTAAAACACTGTAACATCATAATAAAATACATTTAAAGAATTAGATAAATGTTAAGATAAATCCTTATTTTAAATGATAAAGTAGTGAGCACTCTCCTTTAGTTTGAACTTCAAAAATCTTACAAAAGGGGATGCATTTCTCTTATCCAAAACCATAACAGTTGTCCTTATATTATACAATCTGCCTTTTTTCCCACTCTCATATTGTTTTCTACCTTTTCTACTTCATATTGTTTCTTATCCATAGGTCTTATATTAAAGAGAAAGAAGAATATATGAGTAAATTCACACCTGCTAAAACTGCACACGGATGTATATCTTCACTCACAAATTTCATATAAGCATCTTCATCCTAAAACAAGAGAGTTTAAAAATTTACACCCATCTTGCTACTTATTACTGAATGTACATCTTTAAGCTTTGCTTTTTTGGGGATGGGGTGGGTGGTGGGTGGGTGGGAGCATACTTGGTACTTCTCAGGAATTACTCCTGGCTCTGCACTCAGGAATTACTCCTGGTGGTACACAGTGGACCATGTGGGATACCAGGGATCGAGCCCTGGTTGACTATGTGCAAGGCAAGTGCCCTACCCATTGTACTATGGCTTCTGTCCCCACATGTTTAATCTTTTATGAATAAATTGGATTAATATGAGTTATTGGTATCAAAGTACCCATTATTTCAAGCTTTTCAATTTTCCAAAGTCATAGTAATGGTAAACTCATAGTAATGATTGTAGGGAAGAAATCAAGTTCCATGATTCTTGGTAAATTTGGCAAAATAATTTGAACAAATTGAAGAACAACTAACAACAACAAAGTGAGAAATGAAAAAAAAAAAGAAAATAGGTAGAAAAGAAACGGAGAAAGTCACTGGATGAAAGGACATCATCTGAGGGAACTTATTTTGAGAACTTAACTTACATACATGATAATTTATACTATTCTAAAATGTAAAAGAAGTATCCTAGAAATATGTACCAGAACCAAACTATTAAGTTTTTGGAGAGGTGGCTGGAGGGCCCATACCCAGCTGTGCTCAGGCTTCCTCCTGGCAGTTCTTAGAGAAGCATGTATGGTGCCCGGGGATCAAACTCAGGTCGTCTACATGCAAGGCAAGGACTTTACCTGCTATACTATTTCTCCAGCCTGAGAAACACAATACTTTTATTTATTTATTTATTTTTGCTTTTTGCTTTTTTTTTTTTTTTGATCGCACCCAGCAATGCTCAGGGGTTACTCCTGGCAGTGCTTGGGGGACCATATGAAATGTCAGGGATTGAACCCAGGTCGGCCATGTGCAAGGCAAACGCCCTACCCACTGTACTATCACTCTGGCCCCTAAACACCTACTTTTAAAAAGACTATCTTGCTTCTGCCTCCCTCCCTTTCTTCCTCAAGTCCTTTGTATCCACACTACATTAAATTTATTATGGCCATTGACTAAAAAACTGAAGGTTATAATACTGACACATATAATAACATGGAAGAGTTTATACATATAGTACTCAGAAGAATCTTAACCTAAATGATTCAATAATCAATGTATTTTCACTTCCTAGATAGGACACAGTAGCTTTCAAATGATTTCCTAACTTCAATAAAAACTGATTAAACAGTCTGTTGACTTTTATATCATACTGGTTTTATAATATTTTGTTGCATTTATAACAGCTTTTATCTTAAGTGAAGTTAAAGTTGAGAAAAACATACTGATTCATCCTCATCAGTGGCTGATCTGCCTGAAAAGTCTTCCTTATCCGAGTCTTCTGACATCTTTCAATATTTGGCTCGAAATTTCTTTTAATATGAATAAGCTGTAAAACAATTACTAAGGAATTTATTTGACAGTTTTCTTTCTAGGTTGTAATTCTTTTTTTTTTTTTTTTTTTTTTTTTGCTTTTTGGGTCACACCCAGCGATGCATAGGGGTTACTTTTGGCTCTGCACTCAGGAATTATCCCTGGTGGTGCTCAGGGGACCATATGGGATGCTGGGAATTGAATCCAGGTTGGCCGTGTGCAAGGCAAATGCCCTACCCGCTGTGCTATTGCTCCAGTCCCACAGGTTGTAATTATTTACTACATTACATGTGCATTCCAAAATATTGTTTTCAATTAGCAACCATAACAGGATTCTCTAAAAACTTACTAGAACAAAGCTAATAATGGCCTTCTATTTTAAAGATCTGAAGAGCATTTGCATTTTCATAGAAGACAAAACTCACGATAAAAAGCAAAGAGGTAATTTGATTAAAAAGGAATTTTCAGAGTAAAACGGCCAAATCATTGTATTGTCTCCCTTTAAAGTATCACATAGAGATATAAAATTCAGAATGATTCTGAGGCATTAAAAGGATCATGAATCAAGGGGGAACCCCCTCTACACACACACACACACACACACACACACACAATATTGGGGCAGTGAAATGTGATATAATTTAACTTCTTTTTTCTTCTGGTTAAAATTTCCATTGTCCAAAGCTTAAAAAAGACTACAATAGAAAAAAAAACCCACAATATTGGGGCAGTGAAATGTGATATAGTTTAACTTTTTTTTTTTTTACTGGTTAAATTAAAAAAGACTACAATAGAAAAAAATATATAACCCCACAATATTGGGGCAGTGAAATGTGATATATAGTCTAACTTTTTTCGTTGTTGTTGTTCCTGGTTCAATTTTCCATTGCCCAAAGTTTGGAGAAAAAAAAAAGACAACAATAGAGTTTTTCTTCTATTTTGGTTACTAGTTTAAGACGGAATTCTATTTTTTCTCACTGAAACCTCAATAGCTAAGAGTTGGTGCACGTCCAACTCCTAACGCAAATAATTCTCCCCCGCTGGTGAAGAAGTCACCGCAGTCTTAAGATAACGAAAACCTCCTGGTCCAGAGCATCATTCTTGAGACGCTCACGACCCAGACCAATGACATCTCATCCCTGGCACCAGCAGCGGGGGCGGGGGGGCGTGGCCACAGAAGGCAGAGAAAGACACAGACCGAAGTTCAGGACCCAGACAGCGGTGCAGGGACCAGAACCGGGACCAGCGGAGGTCACAGACCAGGTGGTCTGGAGCGCGACTGGGCCCCACCTGGGGGGGCTCCAGGTGGTCTGGAGCGCGACTTGGAGACCCAAGTTTGGGCCCCGCTTCTAACCCTGCGCGCCCGGTCCAGGGGCGCCAGCATCCCGGGGGGGGGCGCCCCGCCTCGGGGGGGGTCTCCGATCCCTCGGGTCACATCAGTGACCGTCCTCTCCCCGCCCAGACACACTTCAACCTGGCCCGGGGCTACCTAAGGATGGATGATCGCCGCCTTAGCGCTCGCAGCGCTGGCCACGCCCTCTAGGGAAAAAAAGCTGCTTGTTACCGGGGCAACGGGACTAATCTCGCGAGGCTTTGAGCAGGTACCGCCTCCCCACAACCTTCATCTTCCCGCCCTCCCTTGAGCATCCCTTCGCGGTTAGCGCGAGGAAAAGAGCCCACGCGGGAAGGGAAGGGGAGGACCCGCAGGACGATGGGAATTGGGGAGGGAGGGGAGCAGCGAGGCGTTGCCCGAACGGTTTGTTAGTCGGGGGTTTGCCGCATCCGTTCGCTGAGCAGGCACTGGAGGTTAAGGCGTGTGCCTTGTTGGGTTTTATCGTTGGCACGTTAACTTGCTTTTATTGGGTAGTGATTTTTTTTCTTTAATTCGAAAAATAAGGGTTTTTCTCTTTACATGCTTGAGTTGTCAGAAACATCCTAGGAAATGTAAAAGGGTATGCCAGGGGGTTTTTGACCTCTCAAAATCCAACTTAGAGACTGTTTACAAGTACTGTTAAATAATAAAAAATTGTTCAATAATAATATATTTCACTCCTCCAGAGCGCCGTGCAAATAAATCAGTTTGCATGTTTGGTCTCATTCAACTGAATATAATCCTAATAGATACAGTCACGACTCCTTTACATCCTAATGTGATTCTACCCCCCCCTTCCCACCATCTTTAGCTCTGGTGGTGGTGGTGGTGAGTGCGCACGTGAGTGTGCATGGTTTCAAACCCACAGCCATGCACATACAAGGCACACTCTGACTCTCTGGTGCCTACATGGGATCTTATATGTAGGCATTTGTAATGCCATACCAGTGGAGAGAATAGACTCTACAGCGAAAGTAAAGGGTGAAACACCGATGATTTAAAGCAAAATGGGTCAATATCCTCTAAATTTTCTAAGTGAAAATTAGCTTCTTATTTAGTCGATTTTAAGCTTGTGGGCTGGAGCGATAGCACAGTGGGTAGGGCGTTCGCCTTACAAGCGGCCAACATGGCCGACCCGAGTTCGATTCCTCCGCCCCTATCGGAGAGCCCGGCAAGCTACCGAGAGTATTCGATATGCCAGACACAGTAACAACAAAGTCTCCAATGGAGACGTTACTGGGCCCGCTCGAGCAAATCGACGATCAACGGGAGGGCCTTTACCTTTTACCTAAGCTTGTAGTACTTGTAGTATAAAAGTCAACCATAAAAGTAGAGGAAGAAAAGAGGAAAGAAAAAGACAAGACTCCAAAAGATAGTTTGGCATGGAAATCAGAAAAGTTTCCTTTAGCAACATGGCCTTAAATTGTGTTAGAAAGAGAATGCATTTTGATGAACAGAGACTTCTGTAAGACAGAGGGGTCACCAGGGTGGTCAGTTATTTATGACATCATAAAAGTTAGTAGTTATGAGCTTCTAAGGTATTGAAGTTGGTCTACAGGACTGGGAGCCAACTTTGACCTTCAGTAGACTATTTAGGGTTTGGGTGACTCATTTTAGGGCAAAACCTGTTAAGCTGTTTTCAAGGTCAAATTCTGAAATCTGTGCCACCCCATCAACTACCCAAGACTCAGATCAAGGATCCTTCCAGTAGTGAAATGTTTCCTAAACTTTTGTCATTAGAATTATTTTGTCCTGTTTGATTTTTAAAAAAAATTACATGGGGGGGGGGGCGCTGGAGAGGTAGCACAGCGGGTAGGGCATTTGCCTTGCATGCGGCCTACCCGGGTTCAATTCCCAGCATCCCATATGGTCCCCTGAGCACCACCAGGAGTAACTCCTGAGTACAGAGCCAGGAGTAACCCCTGTGTATCACCGGGTGTGACCCAAAAAGCAAAAGAAAAAATTACATTTGGGGATTAGAGTTGAAATACTTAAAGAGATAGTAAGAATATCCTCTACCCATACAACAACAACAAAAAAAATGGGTAGGATAAACCCTCTCAAAAGAGAGAGAGTAGTACCCAGACTTAATGTGAAGTCTAAAGATAAAATTATGAAGTATTTTTGTTGTTGTTTCCTCACAAATGCTATGGAATGGGACACTGGTAACTAGAACAGTGAAATCACCATCCCATAGGCAGTGATGTTTACCAAATTTATAACTTTTCAGTCACTTTTAGCTACTAAAAGTTTGATTTGGGGTTTTGGTATTAAGACTTGGGGTTACGTTCATTTTAAACTTTAACTTCAAACTCAATTGAAAGCCCCCTTTCTTCCCAGCCTGCTAGGTCTGTCTAGGAAGACAGAAGTGGTAACTTAGGAAGTGGGAGGGAAGTGATTCATCCCCATTTGCATTCATTCCCCCTTTTCTGTCTGGATGTCGGTTCCTTATGTGTTACAGTTAGCAGTGACTGGAGCAAATGACTAACTGGGCCACCTGGATCAAATGACTCTAACGTTGCACTCTACACAGTGATACTAAGTGTTGCTCTGGCATTTTTTTCCCTACAGGGTTCAGGATAACAGTGGCTCCAGCCTGTCTTCTTTAAGGCAGACTTGTACATAATAATAGTGTCTGGTGAGATATTATGCGGACGAGAAGGCAGGGGCTTGGATCAGGATCTCACTGTTTGAGATAAAAATATTCTCTCACCTAATAGCTGGGAATGCTATTGCCATTAATTTATATGGAAAATGTTTTACACATTCTTGAAAATGGACCAAAAAATAATTTCCCCCACTCACCCAAAATTATACCAGAGTAGGATTGTTTTTCTTTCAGGGAGAGTGAGGGCAAGCTGTGATGTGTTAAGTCGTAATTAGTGCTCTCATTCTAATAGTTTCCAGTGAGAACCTTCCAACAGGCATCCTCAGAAAATGTGAGGTGAGAGCCAGCCACAGCAACTCTCAGTATGGTTCTCATACTGCAGCCACTTTTACATCCTCACCCAGGACTCTGCAGAGATGCAGTAGCCCAGGCTCTTCCCTCAACCTACTGGATCAGAACCTGCACTTGAAAAATAGGCATGATTTTGAGTAGCAAAATGTATAAAACTTGGTTTTAGGCTCACTGAATAAAGATCTTCTGGGAATGGAACTTATCTCCATTCTGATGTGCAGTAAGAATTTGGTAACACTAATCAAGACAGAGCTAATTTCCATCAATTGGGGGAAAGCCACAAGCAGTTAGTTAGGTTACTTGATGGTAGGTACTGGCCAACCTTATCCAAGAAAGCTTGTTCTAAGGAAAGGAAAGATAATGACAAATTCTAAGCAGGTTGGTACACTGAATACAGTTGAAAACTAGCAATGAATCTTGTGTTCTGTGTGACTATAGTTCTTTTGACCTGGGGTCGGAGAGAGACTACAGGGGTTAAAGGTGCTTGCCTTGTATGGAGTCGATCTGATTGAATCCTGTACTGCATGATCCCCTGATGTGTTCAAGAGGGACCAAGAGGGACTCCTGAGCACAAGCACAGGAGAAACCCCTGAGCACCACCAAACAAACTCTCTCAAAGGCAAGTCCTTTGAGATAACAATATTGTTATTCCAAAAAAAAAAAAAAGACAAAGAAGAAGAGTGTTTTGTGACAACACTGGAAATAAGCAAGAAGGTGGAAGAAAACATCATTTTGAGGAAGGGAGAAAAAACCTGGGGCCACACCAGCGGTATTCAGGAGCTATTCCTGACTCTGTCCTCAAGGATCACTCCTGATGCGGCTGGAAGAGCCACAAGTGATGCTGGAGACTACACCCAAGTTAGCTGCTTGCGAGGTGAGTGTCCTAATCCTATCCTATCTCTTTGGTCCTGTAAATTTTTTTTTTGAGTTTTAAAAAACCCTCTTTTCAACCATTTCCCATACATGTTGTCTATACCAACACAGTATTCGAAGTTTTGTTTAAAATTGACTATAAAAATTATTTTAAAAAATACGAGGTGGCTTTTGGGGGGGGTGAAGGATAAAACAACACTTAAATGTGAAATGTTTTGCTACATCATCTTTATTACAACAGACAGAACTCCTGTAATCAGTAGCACAGTCCTCCCGTTGTTTGATTTGCTCGAGCGGGCACCAGTAACATCTCCATTGTGAGACTTGTTGTTACTGTTTTTGGCATATCGAACACGCCACAAGGAGCTTGCCAGGCTCTGCTGTGAGGGCGGGATACTCTCGGTAGCTTGCTGGACTCTCCAAGAGGGATGGAGGAATCGAACCTGGGTTGGTTACGTGCAAGGCAAACACACTACCTGTTGTGCTATAAAAATAAGTGTGGGACCCAAGCGATAATACAGTGGGTAGGGCACTTGCCTTGCAGATGGCTGACCTGGGTTTGATCTCCAGGATCTCATATGGTCCTGCCAGGAGTCATTCCTGAGTGCAGTGCCAGGAGTAAGCCCTGAACACTGCCAGGTGCGTCCCCCCACCCCTATCAAATCATCAACAACAAAAAAGTGAATCCATGGCATTTGGAGGAATTCCATTTATTGTGGATGCATTTTCACAATATATATTTCTTGCAGCAATCATTTCTCAGTGAAAAATAACAAGTGTTACAAAATCCTTAGGAATGGCAGATTCACAGAACATGCTAGTCACCTTGCAGTTTGACTTCTTAAAGATAACAGAGAATTGTAACCATACATGTAAACAAGGATTTTTGTTTTCAAAGGATTAAATCCAAACAGAATAAAATTCTACCCTAAAACACATTCCATCCAAACCTTGGAATAAAAGTCAGAATCGAGATATTCTTTTGTCAACTTTAGACTTTCTAGAAAATACATATAATAGTGATCAGGAGAAGCACTTGTTCAAAAATACAAGAAGACATTGTCCCCTTGCCTTAGACCTCAGTGATGGGTGTTAATGCTAGGACATTAATGCCAGCTACCAGTGAATTCTTGGTCATCTCATAGACTCACGTCTCCTCTGTCAAAGCTGGATGACTTGTGCCATCTTGGTGACTCCTTCCTTTGGCCCAGGTATGCTAAATGCTAGACTTCAACAACTTCTTATTGATTTACAAAAAAAAATAGTCTTTGGAGAGCAGTAATCACTACCTAGGCAGCCCTGCCCTGGTCAGCTCTTCCAGGGAACAATACAGACTCAAAAATAGAACTTTGGGGTGGACTATCTCATTGTGGTAGGAACTGAGATGACAATAATTTTGGTTCAGTCAGTAGAGGTATAAATTAATTTACTTACAGTATATGTATACCCATGACACTAGAATACATTGCCAACTCTTTTATCATTTATTGGGATGAACGGATGAATACTTCTAAGTAAAAATAAGATTTGATGTAAAAATATGTGTAAAAAGTGAAGAATCAAAAAGATGGGGCTAAAAAGTTAACATTAGTGAAAGTTATATATGTATGTATCTGTGTATGTGTGTGTTTTAAAAGTTTAACACGTAATCCACTTAGGATAAGTACTAACCCTCATAAGGCAAAACTTCAAAAAATGTGTCAGTATACTAACGCTGGAAGTACTGTCATACTGAAATACTGGGTTTTTCTCATTCCTCTGCTTCTAGCGCTAATGTTGATTTTTGTATACCAACACATGGAATGCCAATCTGTACAACCTTCTCATTAAAATTCTTGTCTTTAAAGTTGATAGAAGGAAAAGATTTTGTACATCTTCTAGGATAACCTCTGGTGAACTTAATTGCACAGAATAAAGTTGTGAGCAAGCGTTGAGTCTGAGCCAGATGGTAGACTTGGAAAGATTCACACTGGACTTCAAGATTGCTTTTAATTATAAACTAAATATATATGATGTTTTAAAGAAAATGTCAACCCATTTCCACCATTCCAATTTCCACTTTTCCCCCCCTTACAGGTTATTGGACATTGAAACATTGATACCTATTCTGCCATATCTCTGTTGGCAAAGATGAGATATTAATATAGCATTGTGACTTTTAATTTTTAAAAAGCTGTGATATTGGCTAGTTACAAGGACATACTGCTAAATACAATAGTCTAGCACACACAAAAAAGCTTTCTACCATTAGTGTGTTTGTATACGTGTATGCATATACATACATAATCAGGCCATCTAAAATGTTGTGTACTACCACTACCAAGGAAATCCACAAAGCAACCAACCTAAAGAAATCAGTACCACTGTCCACTAACATCAGAATCCAATTGAGATATTCATCTGCATGAAAAAAGCAATACCTTAGCAGTACATTTTAAAGAATCATGATTGCAGTATGTCAAAGCTGAATTGGGTTACTTAGAGAAAGTGTTACAGTTGCCTAATAAGATCATTTCTTCCATGCTTTATTCTAAAGTGCAGGCATAACAAGTCTTCTGTATTTCAAATAAACCCCCATGACTCATTTTCTGGTTACTGCACACATTTCCTCAGGCAATCTCGGCTTGAATCTGCTTCCATTGACTTCCCAAGTCGTTGGCATCACCGTCCAGACCCAGAGTTCCGAGGATCAGTAGAAGGATCTCTATTTCACAGCATGGGTGTCTCTAGAAACAGGCTCCTGTGCAAAGGCAGTACTTTTACCATGAACATCTCTAGACTGTGATTATTAAATATAGTGATAATATACATGAGTTTACTGGGATAATGAGAAACAAAAGAAAATGAACCCAACATAGTAAACCAACATAAATATAAAACAAAGCCAATGACCACTCTTCAGCTGAGCTGGTCCAGCATCTTGAGTGGGTTTTGGGTTCCTTCTTGGAGAGTCTCAAACCTGCAAAGAGAAGACCGTTTTAAATCAGCGTATCATGGTATTGCAGCTAGATGCTTTCGGGAGGGAAAAATTACAGTTTGGCAGGAGTTTTTATGAATGGATGCTTGGTGGCATTCCATTCAAATATGCTGCTTGTAGTCTATCCTTATACTATTCATTTCTCCCCTTGCATTTCCCTCGCTCCATTCTCCTTTATAGTCCCCTTCCAAAATAAGAGTGGAGGATTTGGTTTTGTTAACCCTTTCAGAGGACCAGAAATCGAGGTATTAGTCCTTCTAGAACACACATGATCTTACTGTGTGGGCAGAGTTCTCGGAGTCCTATCATACCTGATGAAGTCTGTACTCTATCACTAGATGTAACATAGGATACTGTTGTAGAGTCTTTGGTACATTGGAGGTGGGGAAGATGCAGTAACTTAAATGGTTTTTTTTTTCCTTTTTGGGTTACATCTGGCGATGCACAGGGGTTACTCCTGTCTCATGCACTCCGGAATAACTTTTGGAGGTGCTTAGGGGACCATATGGGATCCTGGGAATCAAACCTGGGTCAGCCACGTGCAAGGCAAATGCCCTACCTGCTATGCTATTGCTCTAGCCCCAGTAACTTAAATGTTAACACTACTGTGGTCAGGTTTTTTTTTTTTCACAAGTCATACAAACTATAAGAACAATCTATTCCAACTCTCAGATTCCAGTTCAGGAGTGTTATTTACAGAGCTTTCATTATACCTGTGAAAATAGCTTAGAAGACTCTATACATCTGACAGGTGGGTTTTTTTTTTGGTTGTTTATTTTGGTTTGGGGGCCACAACTGGCAGTGCTTAGAGCTTACTCCTGGGTCTGAGCTCAGGGATCACTCCTGGCAGGGCTCAGAACACCATATGGGATACTGGGGATCCAATCTGGGTCAGCCCCATGAAAGGCAAATACCCTATCTACTGTACTATTGCTCTAGCCCTATGTATGCGCTGTTTGAAAGTTGAGTAACTCACACAAGAGGGGCAGGAGCCCTTATGACTTAGGTGGATGAAAGCTCATTCTTTAAAAAAAGAACAACTAAAGAACAATATCCTATCCCCCCTTTGCCAGGTGAAAAATTTTACAAAGCACTTTACAACTTGGTTATTGAATATAAATTCTCAACAGAATATGCCAGCCTCAAGGAAAGCAAGTACAAGAGTTAAAAATGCAGGTTGTCCTGAGCTTCAGGCCAGGTTCTACTAGTTACTGGCTGTGTGACGTAAGAAAATTTATTATCTCTGCCTCAGTGTTCTTATTCATAAATGAGAGTAATTATAATGCCTACTTCACATATTAGCTGGAGGGTCAAATGAGTTTCTGTAGGTTAAAAAGGTAGAACAGGGGGCCGGAGGAATAGCACAGCGGGTAGGGCGTTTGCCTTGCACACAGCCGACCTAGGTTCGATTCCCAGCATCCCATGTGATCCCCCGATCACCGCCAAGAGTAATTCCTGAGTGCATGAACCAGATGTAACTCCTGTGCATTGCCGGGTGTGACCCAAAAAAAAGCAAAAAAAAAAAAGGTAGAACAGTACTTTACTTAGAGTGGAAACTGATCGAGTGTTAAGGCTTGTGGTTATTTGGTACTTTTAATATATTTAACAATGACTTAGAAAACTGAAGTTATTAACAAGTCATTTTAAATGGTGAAGCTGGGCTAGTGGGTTTTATTTGAATCATACTAGTAGAGAAGAAGGAGTAACTTCTTCTGGAACTGCGCCTGAAGAGCACAGAGAAAATTGGAGAGGAAGTCATTCTGTCTTCAGTGAACTGTGTGATTCTCGAGTTTCCTTGGGTAATTTTTAGACCTGGCTTTGCTTGACTGCTTCTGTCCCTAGAGGTTGTTTGTTTGTATGTTTTGATTTGGGGGCCATATCCAGCAGTGCTCAGGCTTTACTCCTGGCTCTGCACTCAGGGATCATTCCTGGGAGGTCTCAGAGACCATGTGGGGTGCCAGGGATGGAATCGGGTTCGGCTGCGGGCACGGCAAATGCTTTATCTGCTGTCCTATCCGTCTGGTCACCATAAACTGCCCTATGCTTGATCCCTATTTTCTCTCGCTAAAAAATTCCCCCTAGTACAGGAGAAGAGGGGGAATTTCATTTCATTTCATTAATTGAAATGGGGGAGTGCTACAGTTAGGAGTTAAGTTAGCTCCTGGTACAACAGATCTTACAACAGTTTGAGCATGATCTCCATATTATCCTGAGTTACCTGTGAGAAGAATACACCCTTTGAACAAAAGACCCCCTTCCCACCACAAAAAGATAAAACTCAGCACTCTCAGCCTTTTATCCTTAGTTTTTATTGCTTTGTGCAATGTTTGGATCCTTTTAACTTTTTTTGTCACGGCAGTCTTGAATGCTAAGTATCCTTTAGAATAATTCAAGGAGACAGACCCTTTCGCTAGGTAATCTTTTTAAAAAAATTTTATTTTATTTATTTATTCTGATAGGGCTGGAGCGATAGCACAGCGGGTAGGGCGTTTGCCTTGCACGCAGGCAACATGGCCGACCCGAGTTCGATTCCTCCACCCCTCTCGGAGAGCCCGGCAAGCTACCGAGAGTATTCGATATGCCAAACACAATAACAACAGAGTCTCCAATGGAGACGTTACTGGGCCCGCTCGAGCAAATCGACGATCAACGGGAGGGCCTTTACCTTTATTCTGATGGTACTCAGGGGTTACTCCTGGTGGTGCTTTGCAGACCATATGGGATGCCGGGGGTTAAACCTGGGTCAGCCATGTGCAAGGCAAATGCCCTACCCACTGTACTACCACTCCGGCCTGGACTCTAGGTGATCTTTAAGTGGCTGAGGTCCAAAGCTGGATCTTATAGGCAAATGTAAATCATAGCTGTCCCTACAGTTTCTGCTTGCTTGTCAGTGTTATACACAAGAGTGACCAGAATCGGTCTTCTGGAGTTCTCTTACAGGCTTAGACATCAATGCATGATTGATGGACCTTTTCCTACAAACCTACATCCAGGCCACGAGACATTGATGGTCACCCAGGAAAGGCTCTCTGGATCAGAAGTACTTCTCACTGAACCCTGGAATACATAGCAGAGGAAGCCTGAGGAGAATGTATTTAGTACAGATCCTTCTAGTAGATTACCTTTGTGGGAGAAGTGACCTTATCCACTGATTGCTTTTCCCAGAGGTTTCTTTTGCCAGACACGTCTCCTGGCCTCAAATCCTAAAGAGTAAAAGAAAAAAATATAAAGATGATATTTATATTTTCTGGTCAGATCGAAACAAACCATCACCTCTGCTTGATGACTTGTCTGAGTCAGTTTCTTGTTTAATATTCTTCATCCTAGTGATCTGAAGTGGACAGAAGGCCTCATCAGCCATTGCTTTTATCCAGACCATAAGCTGTGTGATTAGTGTGACCCTGAGCTGAACGGACTAGAATGTTTAGAATTTAGGTCTTGTCCTTTACCAAGGATTTGGAATATCAACATATTTAATGTAACATATGCTATTTTGTTGTCGTTGTTGTGCTGTAAGTTTTAATTTTTATTATTTTTGTATTTTGGGTGATACTTGAGTGTGCTCAGGGCTTATGCCTGATTCTTGCATTTGGGGATCTGGCAGGGCTTGGGTGCTATTTATCATGTGTGTTGGGAGAGTACAAGGCAAGTACCTTACCTGCTGTCCTATCTCTCTGGCTTCAAGTTTGCAAAATTTTGAAAACAAAACTGTTTAAACACCTGGCTTCACAGCGTAATCCCACAACTCTTGAAAAGGCACAGGTTGCCTGTTTTCGCTTTCCTATGTTTGCTTTTGAGAACAGAGCACATAGATAAGTTTTCAGTAATTCCTTCTGGGTTTCAAAGCATTTCCCCCTTTGCAGATTACTTTCCTTTGGACCTGGCTCATGCACCCTGGCCCTACAACTTTAAGGTGCATCAGCCTGATTTTCCAAATGGTAATACTCCATTTTGCCGCAGAGATATTTATCTGGATCTCTTGGTCCTCTTTGTCTACCCAAGGGCATGAAGAGGTCTGGAAGTCTAGAAAATTGACATGCATGCATAGCTGCAGTCCTCCCTGCCCTTATGAGAATGACTGTGGGAATACAGCTCAGACTTCCTCCAGCCAAAATTCCCTATGTCGCATAGAGCTTCCAGAGCGCCCCCTGTGGGATTAAGTTGTCAGTCCATGTGGTGACTGCTAATCACTTCATTGGCTGCCTCATTTCCTCATCTCAGCCAGGCAGTGTTCTCTGGACTAGTACACTACTTCATTCCTATTCCTAGTTTAGGTTCTGCTGCTTCCAGGCAGCCCAAACAAAGACACTTTTCTGATCATGCTTTCCTTGAACTAAGAGGACTTTTGTTTCCCTGGGAGCAAACATAATTCAGATGTCTACCAACAGAACCTGGGTCCACAAAAGTAGACATATACTACAGATTGTGATCATAAAAGAAAGGGACAGTTGATGACATAGGAGAGAAGCTGTGGAAATCTTGGGAAGAAAACGGTAAAGGAGGATCAATAACAATGATATAGTTTTGATTATTTACTGCCTCATAATTAATTTGGGTTGGATAAAGATCCAAACTTTTTTTTTTCCATTTACTTTTCTTCCTGCATTTGCTTATATTAGTACTTGGCAAAAGGTAGTTTGCAGAAAATAAATGTGTTTTACCGAAATAGTCATGTTTATTTTGGCAAACATGTCTCTCATTAGTAAGGCTAAGCAAATAGCAGTGCATTTAATTCATGGTCACCAGTCTAAATAGCCATACGTTTGATAAAGAGTATTGATATCTGAATGCAGAAAATGTCCTAGTTAAATGGTACCATGTGAAACATTTCAGATTTGCTTTAATCTTACTGAATTTCTGGATTTCCATTGTGGCCTGAATTCCTGATAGTCTATTAGAGAGTTACACCTATTTAACTTGGAACGAGTAAGCAACAAATCAGATTGTTTTTGAAGAATTCCACTACATTTGCCAATGTGAGTAGAAGCTGCCAAATTGTCTGGAAGACTGTTTTAAAAATTTTGGAAACTATAATTAGGAACATGCTAATGGATGGTCTAGAAAAGAACTATTATTACTTTATTTATTTGATTCATATAAGACAAATATTTTTCTTTCACATGAATGTTCTGCTTTACTTAAATTCTGCCTTTGAATCTTTGCAGATCACTTAAAGAGTTTAAGGAACCCCTTTTAAGAAAATATTAACATTCCAGTGCTAAATTGGCATTTTAAATCAAAAGGAGAACATAAATGGAGTTACCTGACCAGACTACATGTTACCGAAAGACCCACTCTGGAAGAAGAGGAGAATGAAGACAGGAAAAGCAGCTTCTAATCACCCACAGATCAAAGAATAAAGAAGATAATTCGACTGAGAAAGATATTGTTGGTATTTTTTTTTAAAAAAAGAAAGAAAGACAAATTAGCATTTTGATTGCTGTGTACAATATGGGCTTCAGACATAAAGAATAGATGAGCCAGGTAAAACAGACATACTCAAAATAGAATTCCAGTTGACATTGAAAATCCTGAAAATCCTGTATATTCTATCCCCAAATTGTAAAAATGATCCCAGAAATAATCAGGCATAGATTGATGTTTACTTTCGGATATGCTGCCTTTCAGGGACCCAACTCCAAAATCAGGTTGATTTGTCAAATTATTCTGAGTACTTTAAGTTTTCTGATTAGGTGAAAGCCCGTGGTGGAGGGGGGTTGTCCTCTTAAGTGAATTTTAGATCAGAAACAATATTCTGGGCTTTCCTCTTCCTCTTCCTCTTTGGTAAAAGAATTTCCTTCTAATTATTCCTTAGAAGCCATAATCCACGCAGCTTTGGACACTTTCCCCTCTATTCATATGCAGCAGAGAGAATCCTGGACTATAGACTGAGAAGAGATCATCTTGGGTGCAAAGTCAGAAAGCACTTGGGTGTGTATGTGGAAGGGTGGGGGAGGGAACTCCTGTTTTCCGTTGGATTTAGGGAATCCTCTGACATCCTGGGCTCAGGGTCAGTCTGACAAGAGCCCCTTAAGTGTCCAAGTTAAAGGCCAGGCTGGGAACAGAAACACCTCAAGAAGGTTAGTGTAAGAAAGGGAAAAGCAAATCAACAGATCCAAGACGCACATCTGCACATCTCAATCTCTGTGTTCATACGATAAGTTGGAGCAAAAGAAAGCAAAGAAATAGAGCACATAGCTGCAGGCCTCCAGTGTGAAAATCCCTGGACAAGACCATGCATTTCTAAGTGAGCCTCCTGGTCTTCACATTTCCACCGTCCATGTTTTTTTTTTTCTTTTTCTTTTTGCATTTGCAGGATCCAATTAGCACTTTGAACACTAGAGAAATTTCATCTTTTTCTTTTCTTTTCCTTTTTTTTTTTTTTTTTGCTTTTTAGGTTACACCCAGCGATGCACAGGGGTTACTCCTGGCTCATGCACTCAGGAATTACTCCTAGTAGTGCTCGGAGAACCATATGGGATGCTGGGAATCAAACCCGGGTCAGCCCCGTGCAAGGCAAACGCCCTACCCGCTGTGCTATCACTCTAGCCCTTCATCTTTTTCTTGTGGAACGTCTAGTATCGTGACTTATCCTCCGGTCTGACTGGGATCCAGCTCATGTCCAGCTCCAAGAGGACTGCTCCGCTGCTGTTCCTCCTTGACTAGCGCTGGGTTTGCTATCCTAGGAATGTGCATGAAGCTTAAAGTTTCTTATTGATTTCCCTCACATCAACTTTTTATTCACATCAATTACCTTTCCCTTCCCCTGCCCTCTCTGCAATCTCACCTTCATTGGGCAAAGTCAGTTCTAGTTTATAAAACTCAGCGTGTCATGGGGAGATTATCATAATCTGTGCCACATTTTTTTTTGTGTGTTTTGGGCCACACCCAGCGATGCTCAGGGGTTACTCCTGGCTCTGCACTCAGGAATTACTCCTGGCGGTGCTTGGGAGACTATATGGAATGCTGTGGATTGAACCCGGTTCAGCCATGTGCAAGGCAAATGCCCTGCCTGCTGTGCTATTGCTCCAGCCTCACCACAGTTTTTCCTTTTCCTCTTCACCTTCTCTAGTAGACAGTCTAGCAAATTAGTTTGTAAATAGTAGGCAAAGCAAGCGATATTTTTGTAACTTGTTCATACTTCTTTTTTTTTTTGGTCCTGTTTTAAATATGATTGACGGTAATCCAGCAAATGGGGCTGTTGGTAAAAAACTTTGACACAGCTGCATCTATTGTAATAGTCACAAAATCACAAATCACAAATCATCCTGTTATTCGTCGATTGCCTCGAGCAGGCCCCAGTAACGTCTCCTTCATCCTAGCCCTGAGATTATATTCAAGGCTCTTTAGGAGAATGAGACCCATCATTGCTGTTGTTGAATTTAATCTGGTAACCCTCCCATGAGGATGACACAGCTGATGATATCAATTCAAGTGTTGATAAAAATATATATGGGATCAGTAATTGAATATTATCTGGGATGAAAATGAAATAGACGGCAAATGTGGGGGAAAATCTACTTGAGCAAGATAGGATGCTCATCAGAGAGATGTCTACTTCTCTCGTTCTCTTTCCTTCCTCTCATGAGAGTTCTCCAGTAGGTTCATGAGGTTCCTGAACGTGTATGATTTGCATGTTTGCAAGGTAGAGAAAGTCCCTGTGTTTTTATTTTTTGACTGGAAAGTCTCCAATGCTTTCGGAGATGAAAGGAGTGAAGAGGTTCTGAGAGTTAAGTCTGTCTAACCCCTCATGTTGGGGGCATTGATAAAGGGATAAAAGCCAACTTAACAGAGAACGCTCACCAGCACAGAAGATGGAGGTATTATACACATAAAGACAAAGCAATTATCATAGACATCAGAGAAAAGATTGACAAGATTTTCTAGTAAGACGGTCACACTGAATAAGAAAGTCTTAGATTTCCAGAAATAGCACTCGTCATAAGTTCTCAGAGTTTCCATTTTTATAGTGTTTTTGTTTTTAAATGGCTTTCCTTTGGAGGTGTTGGCAATAAAATGTTAACAATTATTTCGACAACTACCTAACACCTTTTTGTGTTCAGTCACAGACATTAGGCAAATTAGAAACTGTGGGTTGAAAATAGCTAACAAGCACACATTTTTCTGTGGAAGAAGCTTAGGGGTATTCTGGAGAAAGTTGTGGCCAAGATAATTTAATATTTTTGTTTTTTCAAACTCCTGGTGGTAACTGATAGATTAGAAGCTGAGCTGAAACAGACCGATGTAAATTTGAACTGCCCCAGAGGTCTGGTTCACTGCTGCTCTCGGAGTGGAGAAGAAAGGATTTGGTTCCATTTTTCCCTCAGGGTCTCTGGGTTGTGGTTTTTCCAGACCGTTCTCTCTAAATCCCCATCTCTCCTAGCTGCTTGCTCAGCAGTAAGAACAAAGAGCAGGAGAAGGTCTTTCTGGGGCAAAGGGACAATAGCTATTTTATTTAATTTTTCTTGATTTCTGAAAGCCGAGAAATTGAAGATATTCAGGAGAACCCAAAGCTACTTACAGAAGGTTTGGGAGCAGGTGACTTGTGCCCATCGGGGGTTTTAGTGAGCCATTCATTGATACGGCTGGAAACACCCACCTTCAGTCCGGCAGTTTCCTATTGAGTCAACCATCCAAGTGATTAAAGAAAGAAAAAAAAAACTTTATCTGGAAAGAAATCATCAAAGCTACCGGAAGGCATTGTTATTTTTTTCATAGCCCCAACTCAATTATTAATTATTATATTTGTTTGAAGTAAAAAGAATCTTAAACTTGATTTTTCTTTTGCTTCTTGGGTCACACCCAGCGATGCTCAGGGGTTACTCCTGGATCTGCACTCAGGAATTACTCCTGGCGGTGCTTGGGGAACCCTATGGAATGCCGGAGGTTGAACCCGGGTTGGCCATGTGTAAGGCAAACACCCTACCTGCTGTACTATCACTCGGCCCCTTAAATGTGATTTTTTGGATGACAATGTTATCCAATTTTCTTTCTGTGTTTTAAATTTTTGTACTATGACTTACAAGAGCATTGATATTAAAGTTTCAGGCATACAGTGATGTTTGTACTATATACATTAGCAGAATGCCAATCTTCCATTCCTATTGTCTCCAGTTCTTTTCTTGTAACCCTGCTTGGCGTTCTTGATTCTGTAGGCAGAATCTTGGGGTTTGTTTTCACAATAATTGTTTATTTACTAACTTTCTTTCTCTATATACCATATGAGAATTAGCATCCAGTGTTTGTCATTCTGACTCACTTCACTTAGCATGATTTCTTCCACGTCCATCCAAGATGCAAGACTTTTTTATTTTCTTGTAGCTGAATATATATATATATATATCTTTATATATATACACACACATATATACACACACATATATATACACATTTATACACATAATATACACATACATATATACATACATTTATACATATATGTATATACACTATATACATATATATGTATAGAGTGTGTGTGTGTATCACAACCTCTTCATCACTCCTATGTTGTTGGGCACCATGGTTGTATTCCATTTGGGGTATTGTAAATAATACTGCAATGAGCATAGGTGTGCATACATCTCTTAGAATTAAAGTTTTTGTGTTCTTGGGATAGATGCCAAAGACTGAAATTACTGAGTCATGTGGGAAATTTTAATTTTTTGAGAAGTTGCCATGCTGTTTCCTAGACGACAATCTCACCAGCAGGGAATGACACTTCCTTTCCCTGCCCTATTCCCACCAGCACTGGTTGTGTCCCTGTTATTTGAAGCAGGCCATTCTCACAAGTATGAGGTGTGTGATTTGGTTTTCTTTCCCCAGTCTCTGCCCTTAGCCCAATCCCTACAAGAGTCATGATTAATTTTAGACACTTTAATTCAGAGAGCTGTATCCAGAGAACAGAATTTAGTCTAACCTCATAAACACATTCTATCAGAGCTTGCATTTAAATCACTGTAGAAGATATTAAGAATCAGACCTTCTATCTAGAGAAACAAAACAAAGGAATAGATGAGATCAAAAGAGAACAAACCCTAAGCTTGAACTTCAGAGTTGAGATTACCAAGCAGTGGGTGGAAGGTAGAGGCAAGAGGCCAAGGGGTGATTGGGCTAATTCAGGGTGACTTGAAGAGAGTGGTGGTGGAACTTGGGGACTTTGGTGGTGATAAAGATGCAGTAATTTTGTGCACATCAAGAGTATGAAAACTACCACTATTGTAACCATCTTACCTAAATTTTAAAAGATAATAAAATAATAAAAAGAATTATACCTTTATCATATCAAAATACTAATTTGAAAGGATATTTATGTCCTGTTGTATAGAATTCATGGCACCATTATTTATAATAGTCAAAATATGGACTCAGCCCAGTGGAACAGATGATTGGGTAAAAGCTTTGCTATTCACGATCACGATCACGATCACGATCATCCTGTTGTTCATCAATTTCCTTGAGCAGGCACCAGTAACATCTCCTTCGTCCTAGTCCTTGAGATTTTAGAAAGTGCCATATTCAAGGCTCTTTCAAGGTCAGGAGAATGAGACCCATCATTGTTACTGGTTTTTGGCATAATGAGTACGCCACGGGGAGTTTGCCAGACTCTGCCGTGCGGGCAGGATGCTTTCGGAAGCTTTGCTATTAAACCTTTGCTACTAAAACAGATAAAATGGTGCCATTTGGGACACAATGGATGGAACATGAGATGCTGTGCTAAGTGAAAGAAATGTGGAGAGGTGAAAGGCATTTTATGAATGATTCATTCTATGGAACAGCAACAACTAAAGCAAATGGTCTGGCAGAAACCAAAACAAACTCCTAGACTCCAGGAAAATGATGGCGGTTACTGAAGGACATCATGGTAGTGGGGAGGGTGGGTTCTTTCTCAGGATGGGTACAATGAATTCTATAGTATTAGAAATTAGTGACACGTCAAGAAAAAAGTAAGAGAAAAAAGAAATGATACCTTCTTCACTGCCTTTATTATGAAACTGATGTTAATTATCAAAGAAAAACAGCAAAAAAAAAAAAATCCAGACTTCAAGATTACATGTGAAAAACCATCTGCTCACCTTGTTGGGTGTGCCGGAAGCAGAGGGTGATGAGAACACATTCCCTTTCTCCCACATGCTCTTGATATTGCGGACACCTTCTGCAGGAACGGGAAGATCTGAGGCTGCTGGCTTCGTAGGTTTGGCAGATTTTGTCCCCTGAAGGGCATAAATTATTTTTAGTATTGGAGTTGACAAGTTTGTTCTTATCCAATTAAAGTGAGAGTGTCTTCCTCAACATCATCATTTGAAGAAAAACCAAATCCAGTGTGTAAACATCTTTCTCCCAAATGAGTTCTAACCTCTGATGTAAAACTATATTTGAATGATAAATAGGCCTCACAACAAATCCTCAGATCTAGATTACATGGGTGCTTCAAGAGCATAATAACCTTTCTATCACTCATTTCACACCACTTAATGTGATAGTGAAATCCCATGTCATTTCTGCGACAGATACTTGTTGAGTGTCTACTGTGGGCAGGGCTCTGTGATAGGTGCTGGGGATATAGAGGTACTTAGGGTCATCTGCCCTGTGAGCTGTGTTTTAGCAGAGGGCTTAATTTTGATAAAGGAGAAAAGATAGTCATTAGCTACCCCAGTGTTTATTTCACCTTGCAGTCAGTGCTACGGAAGATGAAGTATTATGCCACAAAGCCTGCCCAGAGAGCACACAAGAAAGGAAGGCTTAGCTTAGGGAAACAAAGAAGGTTATTCTGAGCAAGTACCAGATCTGGAAGACTTGGAAGTGATGAGGTGAAAAGGAGCAAACGCTATCCATGCAGAGGTAGCAGCAGAGGCGAACTGTGGCATAACCAGGCTGAGAGACTGAAAGATGAGACATCACAGCATGGAGAGTAGACTGGGAGGAAGAAGAGAGGAATGTCAGGAAGAAAAGAGTGCATTGGAGGTACTTTTCCAGCTGTAGCGGTGGATATGCCCTGGATCTTGGTCATTTCTTTCCTGGTCCGCTGCTCTGTGGCCTTTGGTGTGGTCAAGACGGTCAACCAGGGCGAGTGACACACTCAGTGCAGTGCCCAGGGCATAAACATTTTTTTCAGTCTGTGTAAAGACTAAAGGTCAGAGTCTGCTCTTTGTGAGTTTCATTAGACCTGTGATTCATTCATAGAAAAGCCCCCCTCTGTAAAATGATGTATTTTGTAAAAATCATCCCCTGAGTGTTAGGATTTGATTACTGATTTGCTACATCAGCCAGTTCTCTCACTTTCTTATGTTCTGGTTCTGGTTTGTTTCTGAATCATTCATGTTTATGTTCATATGTTCATATGTTCATATGTTCATATGTTCATGTTCTGGTTTGTTTCTGAATCATTTTATAGGAATTTTCACTTTGCAGTACTGGGAGAAAAATAAAATTGAACTGACCCATTTACATGACAGGTGTTCTGAGATAGATGGAAAAAAAACATTGACAAAAATCTATACATAGGAGAAAAAGGACCACATATTGATTAAGGGCATCTTACTTTCTTAGTGATTTGGTACTTGGGAATAAGTATTATTTCCAAATAAAGTCAACCCCCTATCAACAGGGTGGGGAAACATTGGATTTGACAGATGCATAAATGATGGTTTTTCAAGTATAAAGCATTCAATTTGGAACTGTTGATGATTACGTTCATGTTTACTCTTTCATCCTTTACCACTAATTTTATTTAATAATACAAGTTTTTATAAGCAAATGAGGATTAACCCAGATGGAGCCCTTTAAAACCACAAATGGGCACACATTTTATAAGGAATTAAAGTTGTTAAATATATACTTGTGAACATATGTATAATAAAGTTAAGTGCCAATAAACTTAGTCATTAAAAATATACCTTCATTCAAGAATACCTAGACAGAAAGTAGTAAACAATAATTTAAAGTTTCTCTGTAATATATCTTTATTAATGTTTTCTGTAGTGTGTTCAAAGTATAACAAAGCACTGTGAATATTTTTAACCCATCCTAGTGGTTACTGGACTTGATTCTTGTCCTAAATGTTTTCTAATCATCTATAACACTGAAATCTGTTTCTGTTTGACCATAACTCTGAGACCATCTCTTACCTCAATTGCACTGGTATACTGCTCCAGTCGGCTGTCAATCTTGGACACGACAGCTGCTTGATGAGTTGATTTGATGCCACTGCTAAAGAATCAAATACACACTGATAAATATCAGAGAGTATTATTGTACATTACTGCTGCTGAGTCACAACTGAACAATGCACTGTATTTACCTTTTCTGCACAGACTTATTCAAAAATTCTGCTCGCTCTTCTATCTAGAAAGCGAAAAAGAAAGACCAGTGAATATTTTCAGCTCACAAATAGTGTTTCTTGGCTGATATGGCTAACCGCTATCTTTTCTTACTCTGATGACTAAAAGCATCAAAGCATGTTAAAGGCAGTTAAGAGGCTGTACAGGGCACCTCTGCTTAGAGAGTAAAATCATGTTGAGAGTATTTAATAATGAGATTTAGGAGATGAAAGGAGCATTTCATCCAGAGGTTAAAGAATATAGAGATACATGAGGTGTAGAGGCAAATCAGAGAGGAGACAAAAATGGGATCAAGATGCCTCTGAAATAATATAAATTAGGATCAAAATAATTACAAATCAAGATTCAGTAAGAATCTCTTCCCACTCCCTTCTCCCCTCTGCCAAGTTACCTCAGGACAATACTACCACCTCTTGGCCCTCCGAAGTCTCAATATCCCACGTTAAATGCTATCCAGAACTATGTCTCATTTGATAGTTGAATTTGTAATCCCATAAAAATTGTCAAGAAATTTTCCAATGCGTATGTAGATTTGGGGAACCCACGCTGAGTGGTGGAAGTGAAAACTGAGAGAAAGATTCTGTGTGGGGGAAGGAGAGCGGCGAGGGGAGGGGAAGGGACTCAGAGATGAGATGCTCTCATCTCACTGTCCTCAGCCATCACATTTACTTTCATCACAGAGGCTGTATCTCCACTTCTCCTTTGTATCTACATTATCTAACACAGCCTGATTCCATTATCACACTGGCAGGACTTGATTCATGACTTATTGACTCACCCTTGTTGGAAAATTCCTTGACAATTTTTATGGGATTACAAATTCAACTATAAAATGAGACATAGTTCTGGGTAGCATTTAATGTGAGATACTGAGACTTTGGAGGACCAAGAGGTGGTAGTATTGTCCTGAGGTAACTTGGCAGAGGGGTAGGGGGAGTGGAAAGAGATTCTTACTGAGGTTTTAGGATCTTTGGTGCCCTCCTTACACCCTACCACTTCAACCCTACCTTCCACCCCATATGAAAAAAGAATTATAATAAAACCAACATTTAACATTTTGTGCATTTAACATTTATTCCTTATGTGCAATAAGTAAGATAAAGCATTCACTGTTACCAGAACTTAACTAGGAGAAGTCAGATTCATGGTTCCCCAGACATAAACTGGTAATCATGAAGAAACAAATAAAAAAATGAACTAGTGGATGCTATTTTGAGATAAAATGGCAAATGTCCTCCCTGCCCCCATTGGCATGATACAAGGTTATCTTCTGGCCATTTATAAAAGTTTCAGGGTCAAAAGTCTTGCCAATTATAGGAATTTGTATGCAGAATATAAAATTTCTGAGCTCTAAAATTGGAGTCACCACCAGTTTCTTAAGGCTTATATTATAGAAAAAAGAACCAGATTTTCCTGAAACATGTCACAGAAATAAAATAACCTTGGTTCTTTCCTTCTATATTGGATAACTCACAAGAAGAAGAAGCAAGAAGTATCAAGGAACTGGCTTCCTGGGACACTGGATGATATAGAAACCAGGGGTCTGGTTGTTGGAAACACCAGAGAAGTAAGTTGGAAGAAAACCCCAAAAAGTGGTAGAGAGAGGAAATAGTTAAAGAAGAGGAGGAAGAGGATGGAGTAGAAGTTTCTCCAAAATAAATTGTGTGTGCGTGCGTGCGTGCGTGTGTGTGTGTGTGTGTTGGGGGAGGGGCGCAGTGGTGATGGTGGGTTCGGAGTTGAAGAAATGGAAAGGTTAAGTAAGGTGCTGGCTTTGCATGTGGCCGAGCCCTGGTTGATTCCCGGCACTGCATATGGTCTCCCAAGGACCACCAGGACTTCTAGGGGTTGCTCCTGATGATAGAGCCAGGAGTAAGCCCTGAGTACCATCAGGTGTGCTCCCCTCCCCCTACTCCTCACATACACACACAAAAGGAGTATATATTGGAAGGCTAAGTGATTACTACTTTCTTTATGATACCAAAGAAAAGAAAGCATGGGTTTAGTGAAAATTTTACAATGATAGAGAAAAGAGAACATTGTTTTCTTTGATTATTGATGAAAGGAAGGCTCTGGGGCACAGAGATCATTTTGATGGAAGGGTTTATTTGGGTCTTTCTGTTTTATCTTCTAGAGTTGGGGTCTACAAACTTGGGCCCATTTGTCCCCAGACCAAATGTATCCCATGTTTTCCATACAGGCTTCTGGTTAAGAATGAATTATACACGGATGAACCTTGAAACGAATCCAAAGAGGAATTATTCTTGACATTAGACACTTTTACGAAATTCAGATTTTCCTGTCCATCAATAGGGTGGCCTCGTCTAGAATGTTGTTCTCGATCCATTCTCTGCAGCTCGAAGGACTCACTGTGTGCACTTGATCCCCTTGAGAGCCCTTCAATCACTCCAGGACTCTCTGATGCTGCAGGGACAGTGCTGTGGCTTTGTGCTTCTCTCAGAGTACATAGCACACACCAGGCAGGTTCTTTCTGCTATCTGTTACATAGTTAAATGTGCCATGGCTTTGTTTGGATTCCCCTGGCAGAGCTTGAAATGAGAGGTCCAATAGAAGCTCTGTAGGAACTTTTATTTATTTTTATTTATTTATTTATTTTTTGCTTTTTGGGTCACACCTAGCAATGTGCAGGGGTTACTCCTGGCTCATGCACTCAGGAATTACTCCTGGCAGTGCTCGGGGGACCATATGGGATGCTGGGAATTGAACCCGGTTCAGCCACATGCAAGGCAAATGCCCTACCCGCTGTACTATCACTCCAGCCCCAGTAGGAGCTTTCAAACTAGGAAAGAAACACAGGCCATCATAAAGACACAGGGGGAATGATTTCAGGATGAGACAAGCACTTTTCCACTTGAATCAGAGAGTAACTAAAGTGTAAGTAACTGGTTTTGGGTCCTTGGAGTGTGTCACATGGTTAGGTCTCTCCAAACAAACACACACACACACACACACACACACACACACACACACACACACACACACGCAGATAGACGCTGTGGCTGTGGCTTTGTCCTTTATCAATACTTTGTAACGGTGGTAGAAAATTGAGAAAGAAATGAAAGTACTCAAAGTTCCCATCTCTGAAGATTCATTCATTTATTCATTCAACTGGATTCTTATTCAATTGTGGGGTGGGGGACACTGCAGAGATAGTCCAGTGGGTCAGGTGCTTGCCCTGCATACAGCTGACCCGGGTTTGATCCCCAATACCCTTTATGGTTCCCTAAGCACCACCAGGAGTGATTCCTGAGCGCAAAGCCAGGAGTAACCCCTAAGCATTGCTGGGTGTGGCACCAAAATAAATGGAGTAACTATACTTTGCCAGGTGTTGAATAAATGCCTCAAACCCTCAAAGAGAAATGTATACTTGACAATAACAACGGACCTAGTATAAATGCCAGGATGTTTGTTCACTGGCACTCTTTCCCCCAGATCTCCACCTTTCCATCCTCTCCATGGCTGACCCTCAATGCTTTTTCCTCCAGGCAGTACTCCTGGCTTCTGTCCACTAAGTGCTCTGTTCCAAGAAGGCAGAAGAAGAATCATACTCATCCCAACAACGGAAACCTGTCCAAGTCACACTTCATCTCTCTCTGTGACTACAGTTTTCAAATGTGACTAGTAGCATCTCCAGCTGTGCTGCTTTGCACTGTGACCCAGAGAAGCATGGGTGGGGGAAGAAAAACTAGCAGGAACAGCAGGGAGAACTGTCAGAATAGACTCTCCCATTTCATAAACTTGAAACGGTTTCATGTTCTCAAAGCATGGGGCTGTCTTGAAGGAGGGATTGGGGAACCCCATGACTATCCCTTACTGCCACTTTGATAGTGAGAAAATATGAATGCTTCCCACTTCCTTTCTCTCTTTTTAACTGCCAAAACCGGAGAATGGGAAATGGTGGACAAGAAAGAACCCAAGGAGAAAGGTAGCTGAGGCTTTGAATCATAAGGGAATAAGGAATTAGGCTGTCTGCTTCCTCCAAGCCCTGTGAGATAATAATAATACAGTGGGTCAGCCTGCATGCAGCCAACACGGGTTTGATCCCTGATACCCTATATGGTCCCCTGAGCATCACCAGGAGTGACTTATGAGTGCTGAGCCAGAAGTAAGCCCTTTTACTCCTTCTAGAATCCTAGTAGAAGGTGTGTGTGTGTGTGTGTGTGTGTGTGTGTGCGCGCGCGTGTGTGTATGTGTGTGTGTGTGTGTGTGTGTGTGTGTGTGTGTGAGCAAATACCTTGAGAGATGAACCTTTAGGAGTGAAGCATTTGAATGGCTTCTTGTCATCTGATGAGGCATCTTCTGGCATCTTCTGACGCTTCTCAGCAGCTTCTGCTCGTCGCCTTCCAATCTCTTCCTTTAGCCGCCTCTTCTCCTCCTAAAGAGAGGCAGAGTAACAAGGAGACATGAGCCTCACCTTCAACCCCAGAGGAAAGGGCATTAGTGGCAGGGGAGAAATACCCTGGGTTGGACACAATCTCCTTAAGACAGGTTACTAGAGATCATGAGTCCCACAGCCTGATTCACTCTGGCATTGCTCCATTCTCACTCTGAGACTTTGGCCACATTCCATCTCTGCCCTGTCCCTCAGTTTCTTCATCTGTAAAATGGGGATAATAACACTGCCCACCAAAGAGGACTTTATGGAGGAGGAAATGAGACAACCTAAATAAAATGTGAGGAGCATACAATGACCATCGTGTATCTATCACCCTGTTGTACCGTGGAACACAGCTTTCCAACTCCACCTACAAAATAAATACCAACTCCCCTTCTACCTACAATATGGAACATTGTGGAGACAAATGAGATAACAGAGGTGCCAAGTTATGTCAGTCTGTGATGCTCTATTTCACAAACTGTATATGAAATAATTCCACGGATCTTGCCTCCATGGAGTAGGTTCTTTTAGATGGGTTGATCAACCGGAAATGATGTCATGTGTTAGTGGTGGATTCACAGATGTTTACAACATGCCTCACTAATATTCTGGGCCTTCATCCCTGTTCTGGAACCCTCTGCTTGGCTTTTTTCAGAAGTAAAAAAAATTATTCCTGGATTGGGCTAGAGAGAGCACTCCACAGGCTGATCACATACTTTGCATATAGGAGGTCCAGATTTCATACCTGGCACCACATGATCCCCTGATCACTGCTGAGTGTATCTCCCCTAAAAAAGCCCTCCAAATAGTTGAGAGTTCTGTTCAAGTTGCACAGCCACTATGAGGAATTTTCTAAGAGACTTGCCTCGTCTTCAAAAGAATCAACCCATTTTCTCGAGGACTCACTTCCAGAGATGCTCAGGGGCTACTAAGATTACACCTGGTTTTGCTGCAGGTCCACATGATACTGGTGATCAAACTCAGGGCCTCATAAATGCCAGCATGAGCTCTACCCCTTGAGCCATCTCCCCAGCCTCCAGAGAGGCTTTCACGGAAGACTGAGTGTCAAGCTGAGGCTAGATCAGTCAGAGGAAGTTGCAGAGATCCTGAAACATGTCTGGGCTGAGCGGCAGTGAGAGGTGTGAGTCTTGGGGAAGTGAGGAGCTCATGAGAATGGGAGCCCTCATGATTGGGGCTACTGCTCTCATCAAAGAGACTCTTGTCCTTTCTGCCTTGTGAGGAGACAAGGATAAGAGAAGCCCTTTGTGAGCCAGGAAGGCGGCGGGGGGTGCTCTCCTCAGACCCTGAATTTGCTGGTATACTCAACTTGGACATTCAGCTTCAAGCCCTTTAAGAAAGAAATTTCTGCCTACTGCAATTTATTAACAGCAGCTCGAAGGAAGACACTGTGTTTGGTAGGAGGTCAGACCCAGTGATCTCCTACATCCAATCCTAGCTCTAGCATTCAAGCTTCTCTTTTGGCCTTCATATGGGTCACTTCCTTTCTAAACACCATGGATGAGCATTGGTAACTACCAATTCTTAAGTGCTACCTCTGTCCCAGGCACCGTGACCCCCATCTATGGAATCATCATCTCTATCCTACAAGGAGCTACTGTTTCACAGAGAGGAAAAGCAGCCTGAGCTTAACCCAGACACTCTCCCGAGATGCGTGATCGCAGGTAGGATCTAAACCCAGGTGTGTCCATCATCCCAATTATATCCTGACCAGCGGCAGTTGGCTCATGGAGAGCTGCGGTTGGAAGAGAACTTGGAATAATTTATCCCAACTTTCCACACTGCTCAGGGAATGTTTGTGTAGGATCCATGTCACCTGAAGTCTTCTTGCACATTTTGAAATATGGGAGCAGCCATTCTCTCCCAAGATTTGTGGGGGAAAGCAGGGACCCCTGATGGTTGTACCACTGCTCAGTCAAGCACCTTCACACAAGTCACTCCAACAAGTTCATTCCTGTTTCTTTGCCCATCAAACGAGACTAATACGGTCTCTTAGGGGGAAAGGCAAGGCAGCCCTGTGTGAACTGCAGCGATCTAGGTGGTGGTTGGGTAAGAACTTTTTCTGTTTTCAATATTTGCCTTCTTGTAACTTTATCTGTTGTTTTGAGTTTGGTCTTAAAAGACGGAACACATTCATCTGTTCACAATTACTGGGCTCCTGCTCTGGCTGGCCCAGCGCTGGACCCTGGTAGACAGTAATGAACAAAGCAGAAATGATCCCTGCTCTTGTCAATTTGCTCTACTTACCCTCTCTCGACAGATTTTTCGACTCTGGAAAAATCTTCCCTACGAAAACTCTGCAAATATTAACAAAACAACTCTGCTGTGATTCTTGGTTCGTTGTAACTTATTTCCTCACCCTTTTCAACGCTATGTTCTTCAGGAAGAGAAGACAATGGATTAAGACTAGCAGGACCTTGGAAAAAACTAGCCCCTAAGTAAGCTTCTCTGTATGTAAGTGGGGGGAAGTTAGGTACCTCTGTTTTCAAATCTGCAAAGTGAAGACACCAGAGCTCTTATGAGAATTGGATAACTAGAAAGCTTTTGGAACCACAGAACGCTTATTATTCTCTAGTGGAAAGCGTTTCACCAGGAAACAATTTTTTTCCCCCCAGGGCACTGGAAGAAGGTTCAAGGCCCGACCGGGATTAAGTGGTGATACCAGATGTGGCCGCCTGGCGGCGCCCTCCTCACCTCCTCCCTGACTTTTCGCTCGGCTTCCTCCTGCTTCCTCCTCTGTTCTTCCTCCTCCAGGACTTTCCTTCGCTCCTCCCTCTTTTTCTTTAGCTCCTCCAGCTCCAAAGCCGCCTCCTGTTGCTTCTGCTTGAGTTTCTCGAACTCTTCGCTCTCGGTTTCTCCGCGGCGGCGGCGAAGCTCCTCCAGCCGCTTCCCGGCTTCCTCGGCTTCCTTGACCTCGCTGGCCCGGGCTCCGGGGCGGCTGGGGAGGGGGAAGAAATGCAAAGAAATTTGGGGATGGGGAGAAATGCAGAGCAGTTTGGGCAATGGGGAGAAATGCAAAGGAGTTTGGGGAATGGGGAGAAATGCCAACTGGTTGGCCCCGAGTCACCCCAGGCAGAATCCCCTTCCTGCGGGTCTGGAGTCAGGGGACACACATCACCCTTCCTGGGGGTGAGTTAGGGTCGGTGGCAGCTGAATGTCACGGCTGTGCAACGTGGATACGACAAACAGGCCCCGGTGAGGGGCTCGAAGTCCGTGCGACCACCAGGGAAAACTTTTAAGCACTGCAGAAATACAATCGTCATAAAATTCTGGGACCCCATTTCTGGGTTGGGATTGAGCGGAAAGAAATCAGAGCAGGATCTTGAAGAATATTTGCGCACCCTAGTTCGAGGCAGCCTGGTGCACCTTGGCCAGCAACTGGAAGCATCTCAAATGTCCGTCCAGGGATTCATAAACAGACTATGGTATCGCGCAGAGAAGAGAGTAGCAGTCAGCCTTAAAAGGGAAGGAAAACCTGCCACTTGCTGGAACATGGACCTTAGGCTAAGTAAAAGAAATCCGCCAGGGAGATGATCACACCCCTCCCGAACAGTGTAATCCCACGTATATGGGAAATCTAAAGTGGACAGATTCCTAGAAACTAAGTAAGAACGGTGATTCCTGGGAGGGGGCATGGGAGTGCATGGCATGAGAGAACAGGGGTGTTTAATGGGTCTAGAATTTTTCCATTTGCAAAATGAGCAAGTCCCAGAGACCTACCTCACCAGGTGGATATTTAACACCACTGAGAGTATGCTTAAGAATGGCCAAATGAACAGTGTAGGGCTGAAAAACTTGCCTTAGATGCCCAGGTTTGATCCCTGGCATCGCATACGGTCCCCAACAAGTGCAGCCAGGAGTAAGTCCTGAGCATAACCCAGCCCCAAAACCAAACAAAAGGTAAGATGGTAAGTCTTAAGATTGTAATTTTTCTACAAAGAAAAAAAAATCCATGCTGCATATTACAGCAAGAGTACGTGGGCATTACTATGCATTCTCTAACCTGAAGGGGGTTTGGGTCACCCTTAGCAGAGCTCAGGTGCTGGGGATCAAACCAGGGTGGACCGCTTTGCAAAGCAAGTACCTTAACCCTTGTTTTCTCTCTCCAGCCCCATACTCAACATTAAAATGAGACAGAACACCTTAGAATGCATGTCATGGAGCAAAGGACAACCTTCTTTCCTGATGTGCTGGTTTCAGTTAAAAAAAAAAAATATATATATATATAGCACAGTGGGTAGGGCGTTTGCCTTGCATGCAGCCAACATGGCCTAGCCGAGTTCGATTCCTCCGCCCCTCTCGGAGAGCCTGGCAAGCTACTGAGAGTATCTCGCCCCCACGGCAAAGCCTGGCAAGCTCCCCGTGACGTATTCGATATGCCAAACACAGTAACAAGTGTCACGATGGAGACGTTACTGGGTCCGCTCGAGCAAATCGATGAACAACGGGAGGACAGTGACAGTGGACAGTGACTGATCAGGATAGAGGACTCCCATAGAATGGGACGCTGTTCTTTTGCAGCCTTCTAGGTCAAGAAGCTGTGACTCAAGAGGAAATCTTTCTCAGTCATGATAAGAACTTTCTATCTTTAAAGATGAGTTTGTTCTCATTTCATGTCTACCACATTAGTAAATAATGAACTTCAAAACACATACCTTTGTACCTCACTGATTCAATTACAAAAATCAACAACAACAACAACAACACTGTCCTCCTGTTGTTCATCGATTTTGCTCGAGCGGGCCCAGTAGCGTCTCCATTTTGAGACTTCTTGTTACTGTGTTTGGCATATCGAATATGTCACAGGTAGTTTGCCAGGCTTTGCCGGGTGGGCGAGATACTCTCGGTAGCTTGCTGGGCTCTCCGAGAGGGGCGGAGGAATCGAACCCGGCTTGGCTGGGCTGACTGTGCGCAAGGCAAATGCCCTACCGCTGTGCTATCACTCCAGCCCTACAAAAAATCAATACAGATTAAAAAATAAATTTATACATGAAACACACACAAACACACACACACATAACTCTAGAAATGCTCTGGGTTCCACTAGGTGTCGCTCAGTCTTCGTTTTGTACAATAACAACAACAAAAAGTTGACCATAGGGACTGGTTACATTCTGATATGTCCATTTGGTGAATTACTCTAGTTGTCAGATTATGTTCATAAGTATAGAAAGGTAGCTATGATAAACTGCTAGGTACCATATAAGAATAAATGGAAATATGTCTTTATAATTACACTCACACATGTACTTACTAGATATATATTTGCATGTCTGTTTTGAATGCATAGACACAGAAAGTAGCTGGGAAAAATGTTACTGATGGTTATCAGTGGGTGGTGGGTGTTTATTTTTATACTTCTATTTTCTGAATGTTTTAGCACAAGTACATTTTTTCCCCAAAGAATCAGAAAAAGAGACTTTAATTCCCACGTTAAAAAAATAAACAGAAAGCAAAAACAAATTCTCATTTTGTGCTCTCTGTAAAATCACTGGTATAATCTGCCATCTTTATAACTTTCTCATTGCACAGAGACTATAGAAGTTGAACATGTTCCTTACAAAACTTTATGTCATATTCAGAAAGAATGTCACGTTAGAGAAAAGCATCTAATTTCAAGGAAACAAGCAAACCAACTAAAAAGAATCACATTCCAAACAGGACGAAGGACTTTGTCCACATCACTTCTGCTCAGATATGATAGGAGGCCCTCAGCCTTGAGAATCACAGAAATGCGAATTTTCCAGAAGGTTGCTTCCCCTGTCCTTGGTGTGTTTAGGTAGAAGTCAAGATAACCTCAGACCATTCCATAATTAAGAACGTGGTGTTTTCCACTTGGCTTATCTAAATAAAAGCTCCCATCTCCCAACTTCTCACTTTCTACGGATGGGGAGAAAAGCCAGATTTTTCTGCTCCCATTCACATCCACTACTAAATGCTACTAAAATAACATGTCAGCAGCTAAACCAAAATGAGTAATATGGTTGTAGCTTGCTGCTTGCATTTTTTTTTCTGGCTAAAGATGGAAAAGTCAAGTCCTGATTTACCTAAGAGTATTTTGATGCTTAACCAGCTGTAGTCCTGTTGTCTGTTCTCTTTGAATTACTCAACTTCCTGGATTCCCACACAATATGTGTGTTAATTTTTAATTTCAGCCCTGCTGAAGCTGGTTGGCAACTTTACTAATTGTTAACTAAACTTCTTTCTACACGGACTTTTTTTTTAACCACATGATTTCTCTTAGCAAAAATGTACTCATGCCCATGAAACCTATTTTTCATATAATAAAACAATAATATTGTTAGGTAAACATTGGTGAATACATCTCACTAACCTGACACTGTTCTAGGGCTTTAAAATATTATGTTATTGGCACTTCAGCAAGTCCAGGATTCCACATGCCTGATGGAATCAAACTGATCTCTAGATTTTGTATGAATTTCTAATAACCCCCCTAAATTTCATATTCACTTTTTTGCCAATTGCAATATCTGCAGGCTCTCATTTTACTTCTTCACAGTTAATTTTGGCCCTTTGCAGACACCTACCCTTTCTTAAGCTCTTGTCTCTCTTTTTGGACAAAAGTGACTAGATTTCTGCTCAAATTTTTGTAGAGAAAAGTGACAACTCTATTTGCCTATATTTACTGCCTTAGTGTATTAGAAGAGCTGGACCTGGTGTCCCTTGTAGCTCTAATTACCTTTATTTATTTATTTTTTCTTTTGGGATTACACTCAGTGATGCTCAGGGGTTACTCCTGGCTTTGCACTCAGTAATTACTCCTGGCAATACTCGGGGGATCATATGGGATGCTAAGAATCGAACCCAGGTCTGCCGTGCGCAAGGCAAATGCCCTACCCATTGCACTATCACTCCAGCCCCCAGCTTTGCTGAGTTTTAAATGGGACAAAGAATTTTGCAAGGAAAATGTCCAACTTATTCTATAGTACTGCTTTGAAGCTTGCTTATTGAACCATTCAACTGAACAGGCAACGCTTCTGCCAACCAACAGCTCCATGGGAATCCATGTTACAGAGACTCATGACTCTGTTCCAGAATACCTGGCACAACATTCAGTGACATAAGAGCAGCTGGAATTTGATACCAAATGTTGGAGGGGTGTAGTGGGCAGCAGTGACCAGAGACTCAGCAGGTGTCCACAGCAGATAGACCCTTCCCAGATTTTCACCGAAGTGGGGTTGAGTGAGGGGGAGGAAAGGAGAGAGAAATCATGATGCAAGAGTTTTGCAAATTGGGCCAGACAGAAAGCACTCTGGGTAAAGTGCTTGCTTTGTACACAGCTGACTCATGTTCGATCCCCAGCATCCCATATGGTCCCCCGAGCACTGCCAGGAGTCGCTCCTGAGCGTAGAGCCCGGAGCAACCCCAGAGAATTGCCAGGTGTCATCTGAAAATTATAATAATAAAAAAGTGCTTTGCAAAATGTCTCAGGAGCATTAGTCCCCGGCACTCTGCCTGCCTCAGAGATAGTATCCATCCAAATTAACACAAATGGTGCTCAGAGCTGTTGGAAATAAAATCTGATTAACTTGGTTTGGTTTTTTGGCTTTGGGGCTATGCGCTCAGGGCTTAGTCCTGGCTCCGCACTCAGGGATCACTCCTGGCAGGGCTCGGGGGGTTATAAGGGGTGCCAGGGATCAAACCCAGGTCAGCTGCATGCAAAGTAAGTGTCCTGCCGACTGTACCATTATTCCAGCCCCTGATTAACTTGATTTAACCCAAAGTTTCCAGATTATTTGGCCTCAGAACAATCTTCGTTTTAGCCAACCTTTATTTACCACCGTAAGAAAATACCTTCTTGATGATGTTACTGAGGACTGTCTCTTATGAAGTTGGCTGAACTAGCTAGAGAATAAATCCATGATGTTAACTCTTATTATACTGTTTCCTAATAAGCTGATCTTACATGACTTAGAAGGCCAGAGAACAAAAATGTGGCTGCCAAGCATGATCTGCCTTGCTAAATAATGGAAAAAGCAGATTGAACGTTGTCCGAGCAAAGATGGCTGGTCTTCAGTTAGTGATTGATAGCCTGGCGTGCTGACTGAGTATCTTTCAGACAAAGGCCAATGACCTCACAACAAAAATATGGCGCCCGTTTGGCATGTTTCTGTTTGGAGACACAGGCCAGGAGACGGGTCTTTTCCTACCTGCCAACGCAGTCACTGTTAACTCACCACTCTTCTCACCTGAAAGTATTCTCCGTGGGTTTGAGTTTGTGGGTCAGAAATTCTCCATTCTGGGACTTGACTTCTGTAAATCCCTTCTTCCCATCCAAGAAACTCTTCACCTCTTCTTTGGGCTCTTTGTCCTTTTTCATCTTCTCATCTTTGACCTAACCAACAGCACATATTGGGAAGAAACATAACAATCAAAATGGTATTAGGTGTTGGTGGCTAGGACAAAATAACACCCCAGGTTGTTAGGGAGTCAATCAAACCATGGGAAATTAACCACTGAAGACTCATGTGGAATAATTGGGGTGCTTCAGCTTCTGAGCAATAGAGGTAAGCAACCAAGATAATATCCAACCCAAGTTTAGGGGTCCAGATCATCCCTGATTTTACCAGAATTTTCATTTTCAAAGGCAACAGAGGTGTTAACGTTTGGAAATGATTGAAACATCAGAGCTGCTGTTTCATAGCTCCTGCTGGGGTGAGCCATTAATCACGTGGCCCCCGATGGCACATGGACCGGCTGCCCGTATAGCTTTCTCCTGAGATGGAGCTGCTTCTTGAAGAAAAACACAGATGTGTTGGGAGGAAAGAATGGGGCAACATATTTACTCAGCCAGATCTGACAAGCTAATTTTGGTGGTTGTCCGAGGACGATCACCCTTGCATTTTATTCAGTTCAGTGACTAGTATCCCGAGGCTAGAAGTTCTAATCACCCTACCTTTGAGGGATGACTCAGAGATCTTTGGAGCTGCCCGAGTAGTTATTAAACCACCAGAACGCAATGGGAAACATGCTCGAATTTTTCTTGACTCTCAATGCAGGTAATAATTTAGTCCCTGGAAGGGATTTTGTGATTGCAGAGAGGAAGGTGCTACAAAGCAAGCAAGTGTTAACTTTGCTATTCTGTGGGACTTGTGTTACAAGCTCCTCACAGTGAATGAGGCAGATGATTTGCAATGGGACTTAGGTCTATCTTTTTTGGAAGGTGGGGTAAAGAAATTAAAATTCCTTTATGATGCTCTTTTACCCATTCTTAAAAGGTGAGCATGAAAGTGGAAGGTGCATTAGAGCCCTGTCAAGAGAGTGTAAAGCTCTACCAGTCTGAAGTCTACAGAGAAGCATCTCCTTATACTGATCACTCATCTCTATTTACTATTCTTCAGATCCTCTCTACCTGGCTGCCAAGGTACATGTGTCACTAAGAAGAGTGCCTTTGTTTTCTTCTTTCCCGACCAGCTTTCCTTAGTTCATTTCATCTTTGGACTTAGATCACTCAAAGGGGCATTTATTCCCATGTTGTTCTAATCAGAAAGTTGTCCTCATCTTTCTCCAAGGAGTCTATAAGAAGGATAACCCATGAACACCATGAACATGTGGAAGATGGGGACTGTTTTTTTTTTTTTGGCCATACCATCTGGAGCGATAGCACAGTGGGTAGGGTGTTTGCCTTGCATGTGGCCGACCCAATTCCTCTGCCCCTCTCGGAGAGCCTGGCAAGCTACCAAGAGTATCTCACCTGCACGGCAAAGCCTGGCAAGCTACCCGTGAATTATTCAATATACCAAACACAGTAACAAGTCTCACAATTTGTTGTAAGACGTTACTGGTGCCCGAGCAAATTGATGAACACTGGGAGGACAGTGCTACAGTGCTATCTTCTGGGAGCTCTGACTAGAAGGCATGGAATCTGGAATCTCAGTTTTAGTTCCAGTGCTGTCTACAGATATTTTTCTTTGAATAAATCAATGACTCCTCTGAGATTCTTGCTCCACATACATCACAGAAGGGAGTTGGACTAGATGATCCCTTCCTAATTCTTCATCTTGCCATTTTTACCTCTCTGCTCCTGATTGGTCTCAAGGGGCTGCAATGAAGAGAAGGGTGCTTTGGGCTTATTTTTGAGTTGTTCTTGACTGTGGCTCCTTATCAACTGTCCTGGCCCAATGATAGGCCAGTCTTCACTGGGCAGTCAAGGAGCAGGTGCACACTATTCTAGTCTTGTTCTATTATGACTGAATACCACCCCCCCCACAGAAACCATGGACATGATTTTATATCCTGCTTAAAAAGTATCTGAGAATAAAAATTTGGGATGAGGAGATTCCACTTCTGGGAACCCAGGAAAAAAGATTCTGAGTCAAATCTCTGGGTACATGAAACACCTTACAAAGAGAAATTCTTTTTAATTTGTTTTTCCTATTTTAAAGTTAGAGAGATTTTCATTCTCCACAAAGCTATCTGACTCAATGGCCAAAGTGTATGTTAAGTAGATTTGTAAAATGATACAGATCTAACAGAAGAACCCTCCCCCCTTTTAAAATCAAGCTTTGCCATTAGTGGTAAATGTTATGGTAGACAGCTGATGATATTCTCTTTGGAAAACTTTCTGAGGAAAAAACTCCTGATGAGTGAATGATAATTTGCATTTAGCTGGAAATTATTTTTCCTCTTTCTGGTAAATGAACAACTAAAATGATTTTAATTTTATTTTGAGGAGTATAGTAGATTGGATTTTACAGCAGCTTCAACTCAAGCTTGTGGAATCTGAGTCCCCTGGGAAAAGTATTGGATTCTCTAGTTCCAAATGTTGCCACACAGACAATCTGTGCTGATGGATGAATAAAACGCTAAGCATCCTAAAAGATCTAACATGCCTTAGAAAACAAATGCTCGTATGAACAGCTCAGGCCACATGTGATCATTTGGACAGAACGCTGAATATTAGAAATGTACAATCAGAGAACACATTGGGGTTGGAGGGGGTCAGAGAGTCAAAGATCACGCCCATAAGCAAGAGACTCCCTAAGGTCAAGTGGGAGAGTCCGGGAACACAGACCTCAGACCCATCTGTTACTGGTTTTGTATTATTTCTCTTTGATATCACTAAAGCTTTGTATTATTTGTGGTGTGTTGCATTTGAGTTTCTTGTAAGCAATAGATGGGGACTGTGTGTGTGTATTATTTGTCTTATTCTACAGGATCTTGCTTCACATTACTGGATTGCAGAAAAGGTACAAAAACTGAGTTACAGAGCTCTAGAGTGGTTGAATACACTTTTCTTAGATCCAGAGGTCTCCCTGCTTGTCTGGTCCAACCTTTATCTCCTGGAAGCCATTGCGCCAGAAATGAGGATTCCCAGACAACGTGGACCTCACCCAGAGAACTCAGGCTCCACCTCAAAAACCCTCTGATTCCTCATTTGAAAAGACCCCCCAAATGACTTGCATGGTAATTTGAGAAGTTTCAACCCACAGGACATGAATATCAGTTTCAATATTATACATAAATTCTGCAGGAGACTTTTTTCTCTGTTGAGATAGGGAGGGTGTGTGTGTGTGTGTGTGTGTGTGTGTGTGTGTATGTGTGTGAATGTGTGTGTGTATGTGGTGGGGGGCCACAGAAATAGCTCTGGGGCAAAGAACCTTAAAAAAGGGGGGCATTTTATACTAGGAGAGGAGAAAAAGAGAAGCTAAATTATGTTTCAAACTTGCTGATCATTTGTAATCTGTTGCCATGGAATTAAACTGTAGGGGGAGAAAGAAGGTTTTTTGAAAGGTACTGGGTGGATGGAATACCAGCCTTCAGAAGTCTTCTCTAAGAAGGCTCGTATGGAGTTGGTATTTACTTGCGGTAGACAAATCCTGCACAGTTTCTTGAAAGGAAAGGCTTTTCTTTCTTTCTTTTTTTTTAAAGGAAAAATGAAGAAGGAGGTTGTTTAAAATGGTGACATTGTGTAAAACATGATTTAAAACTGTGTGCACAAGCCAACACAATTCACTGGGGAGGGGGAAATTTGTCAGGGTATGATGTAAGCACACACTGTGAAATCAGGAAGTTCAGGGTTCCTTTGAGCCTGGAACTAATGGCCAAGCTAATCTGAGCTGGTGTGAAAAGAGAGGTCAAAAGTGCGAGGTCAGAGAGATAGTACAAAAGGTAAGGTCCTTGCTTGGCCTGCAGCTGGCCTTGGATCAAATCTCCGGGGCAGCTTATGGTCCCCTGAGCACTATCAGGAGTCACTTGTGAGTACAGAGCCAAGAATAGCTCTGAGTAGTCCTAGGTGTGGCCGCACACTCCTCCCTCACCCAAAGTCAGGGGACCAGTGAAGCTGTAGGACAAAGTGAGGAAGGATCAGGTCTATGTGCAGAGCTGAACTGGAAGCTGATCTGAAAAGAGGCTGAAGGATGATTTGGGGGCCGTCAGTAAGCTGCATCTAGCTCAAGGATTCAACAGATACCTCAAGGACTTTGGTTAAAAATGAAGTACATCATAGGAAATAAAATTAAATTTTAAACAAAGCATCCAGACAGCTATTTCCTGCCCCTTCCTTTTTAAAAGACATGCACCAGAAAGCACCAGCTTTAGTGAACAGTCAACATGCGACATTTATGTCGGTGTTCCCAGGAACTTTCATTGTGGGATAGCTGACATTGTAGGTGCTGTTCACTTAGGACATGAGAATAGGGTTTTTTTTTTTTTCACACATCCAAATATTTTCTCAGCTGCCTCAATAGAGGCAAATTCCGTTTTCCGGTCATTAAGCTTCCACTATCCTTAGCCTCTGAAGGGGCAGTATTCCCATCCCCTCACTCCCCCAAACCACCAAGTCTTCTGTTAGAGACAGGGAGGAAACTGGATCTTAAGTCAAATAAAGGTAACATGACCTATGGGGGTCTTGCTCGTCATGTGTTCTTACAGAAACACATCTAAAGAAACAACCATCTCCATATTAAATCTGGCCATCTGCCTCCTAAATATGGATTATTTTAGGGGGGGTTCCTATTAAATGCCATAACAGGCAGAATAATGTAGTGGGAATCTCCCAGAGTTGACACTCAATAGCCCCAACTTTATACCAGACACAAAGCAATTCTAGACCTTGTAGTTTGCAAATTTAGTTTTACCACCTTCCAGAACTAGGGATGTTTAGAAATTGTCTAATTTTTTTTAGGATGCCTTGGAACCCATATAAGAGCAATGGTGAAAACGAGGTCAGGCTTTCTGAGGTGGCATTAGGTTGAAGTGGTACCTAACGATAGTCTCTGCAGTACCATTGACTGTTACTTACCAAAGTTGAGCAGCCCACAGCCTGTTTGTGCCTCAGAAATGCAATGCAGAATCTTAGGCCAAATGTTCCTTTGGAAATCAAATATCCTCTTCAGTGCATCCGATTTTCTATCGAGACTAGTGTGTATGTATTTGTGTATGTGTGTGTATTTGTGTGTGTATGTGATAGCGAGACCCTTCAAAAAGTTAAATCAATCCAAATCTAAAGGTTTCGTGATTGAAATGAAAGTAGAGTGGCTCAAGGCGGGTAGGGGAATAGCGCTGAGTATAGAAAGCAGGAAAGATTGATCAGACCAGTGTTGTTCAAGCTTTATCAACCTCATCCCAATGGCAGAAAGGGCAAGCTTTGGGACTATCAACCCGGTTCTCTGCTATTTTCTATTTGATGTCAGTGAAACACAGTGAAATAAATTCTGAAGTGTGCTAATGCACGTTATCCTTCTGAGGGACCATGAGCAATATTGAAAACAAAAACAAAAACAAAAAGAAACAACCACCAAAACACTAGAATTGAGGTTATGATGGTTTTCAGAGCATGGCTCTGAAATGTCACGAATAGCTGCTCTGCTCAAGAATTGGGTTTATGGGGGCCGGAGCAATAGTACAGTGGGCAGGGCATTTGCCTTGCATGCGGCCACCCAAGTTTGATCCTCGGCATCCTCCGAGTACCACCAGGAGCAATTCCTGAGTGCAGAGCCAGGAGTAACCCCTGAGCAGCCAGGAGTAACTCCTGAACATCACTGGGTGTAACCCAAAAAAGCAAAAAAAAAAAAAAAAAAAAGCAAAAAAATGAGTTTATGTCTCAACATTATTTACCTGTTCTTTTTTGTAGGAAGGCTTGTCTTCCTGGGACTGTTCTCTTTTAGCTGGCACTTTAGCCCCTTTCTCTTCTCCCTTTTTCGTTTTCAAGAACGGTGAGATCACTCATGGAATGGAAGCCCCCCCCCCCGACTCCCCCAGAGTGCCGTGCTCCCATGCGCCCTGGCGTGGCAGACTGGCCATGCCCTCATCTGTCTCCGCATCGCCCCCGGTGCCCGTGCCTCCAAACAGCAATGCGGGCTCCTTCCCACCACACTCCATTCTGTGGGGAGGGGGCCTGCCTGACTTCATGCTAGCTAGCATGTGACTGTGACTGCTGTTTCTTGTGCCATATTTACAAACCTCCGGAGGTGTGGTGTGGTGTGTTTTGTTCTCGCTCTTGTCACCCGTAGCTGTGTCATGAGCCCCTTGTAAGAAGCAGGAGTGAAAGACAAGATCAGCACCATGCAGGCAGAGGGCAGAGTTTGTTTCACCAAAGAGGATATGCAGTCAACTATTCACACACCCGCTCCCCACAACACTCCAAGCAGAGGGTTAGTACGGGGCTTTGAATGCAGCCTTGCAGACCAAAAACTTTGGTTAAGAGCAGATTTTTAGGGTACAACAATCTCTGGTAACTTTCAAACATCCCCCAAATTTCCATTCTCCTTTGTGCCACTTGGATTCATCTGGCTCAGCCAGATGGTAAAAGGCACAAGATATACACTCTTCATTGCCAGACCTATTTGGATGTTTCCTGGGCTGAAGAGCTGCCTGCAAGTCTGCATTAAGTTCAGGTCTACATGATGGCAAGTCAGGGTTTTGTTAGTTCTCTATTTTTCTTTTGGGGGTCACACCCGGTGATACTCAGAGGTTACTCCTGGCTCTGCACTCAGGAATTACCTCTGGTGGTGCTTGGGGATGCCTGGAATTGAACCCGGGTCAGCGGTGTGCAAGGCAATTGCACTGCTCACCGGACTATTATTCTGGTCCTCATTCTGCCAGTTTTTTTGTTTTGTTTTGTTTTGTTTGCTTTTTGGGTCACACCCGGCGATGCACAGGGATTACTCCTGGTTCTGCACTCAGGAGTTACTCCTGGCGGTGCTCAGGGGACCATATGGGATGCTGGGAATTGAACCGTGGTCGGCTGCACACAAGGCAAACGCCCTACCCGCTGTGCTATCTCTCCAGCCCCTCATTTTGCCAGTTTTTAGAAACATTTCAAGTGGGTTTCCCCCACTTCATTCTGCCCGATTAATTTTAAGGGGTTAATTTTTTTGCTTTTTCAAGATTGATGGCTCTGACTCCAATTCTTTAGATCAAATTTCCTACTCCAACGTTTACAAATTTTGATTCTTCCCCAAGTCGCATGGGGGGAAAGCGAGGAGAGCTGAGCCTCCTGCCTCATGTAGACCTTTGAAGAGAGGTAAGTTGTGAAAAGGAAGACATTTAGATATAGGCACAGAATCCCAAGCCAAAGCAATGCCACCGCACTTATCATCTTCATTCATTTTTTCCCCCTGGTGTTCATAACAACCAAGCACAGAGCAATTTATTTCCCTCGGGTTGCCTCTGTAAACGTGGCTGATGGGCAGGTTAGCCATCAATTGATTGCTCTGTGCTTGCATATTGCTATGGCTGCAGGAAAAAAAGATGAAGAGCTTTGCCAACGGATGGAGCACACGTTGTGGCAATGTGACCTCAGTCCAGACTGGATGTGCATTACATTTCTTGTCAGCCACAGGCATCACGCGGTGGGTGCAACATGTTTACTGTACCTGTTTCTTTGGGGCAGCTGTTGGGAGTTTCTCTTCTTTGGCTTTCTTTTCATTTACCCACTTCCCTTCTAGTTTTGCATCTACCTTCTCCCCATTGACCTTTTCCTCCTGCCTCTCACGTCTTTTCTCTTCTAGCTGCTGCTGACGTTTCTGCTCCTCTTTCTTAGCTTTCTCCGCTTCCTCGGCTTGGGCTCTTTGCCTCTCCTCTGCAGCCTTTCTCTCTTCCTCCTCCCTCCTCTTCCTCTCTTCTGCCTCCCTCTTTTCTCTTTCTTGAGCAGCTGCTTTTTCCTCTGCTTCTAATCGTGCTTTCTCCTCTGCTAACTTTCGCTCTTGTTCTGCTTGAATTCTTTCTCTCTCTTCGGCTTCCAACCTGACCCTCTCTGCCTCTGCTCTCTCCCTTTCCTTCTTCTCCTCCTCCTCCTCTTCCTCCACCTTTGAGCTGGGCGGGACCTCATCAGAACTTTCTGGCCCCGTCTCTGCTCTGGGTTCCTCTGCACTGACCTGCCCGTTATTCAAGGACATTCCCACCACTTCCTCCTGGGGTTCAGCCGGTTTCTCTCCTACTGACACTTCTACCTGATTGTCTTCCATGCTCCCTGGCTTTGGCTTCTCCTCCTCCTCTTCCTCCTTTTCTTTGCCTTCCTTCTTTTGGGCTTCGGTCTCCCTCCAGTCATTCTTCTGGTAGGATTTGGACCCGGTTTCGTCCAGCTCGTATCTCTCTTGGCGACTTTCGCGCTTTTCTTCCTTCTCGGTGCTCTCGGTATCTGCGGTGCTGTTGGTGGCTCTACGGCTCAGCAGTGACATGCCCCCATCTGTGATGGTGGGGTCCAGCTCCTTCTGCCGCTCCAGCGCTTCCTGCAGGCGTTTCTGGCGTCTCTCCTCGCGCCGGGCCAGACGTTCCTGGAAGGCGGCCTCATCGTCACCCTCCAACGGGGTGTGCGAGCTGGTTGTCTTGACCTCCTCGTTGGACACACTGTAGGAAGAGAAACAGCCAACACCAAAGACAACTTGCAGGTCAGTTGGTCAGTTGGATTCAGGCACGCAACTAGTGCAGGTGCCACAAGGACCCAGATTTGGTGCATCCTTTGGGATGTTACCAGATATTGCTACCAATAGCATAAGCAAGTCATTGTCTTTGGTCTTCCTCTGGCCATTGGAATCTACTCTACAAGACAGTAAACCTGTGGGTCTCATGCCCCTACTCGGGGCCACCCTCAAATTAAAAAGTGGATGAGGAGGGAATAATTCCACTATTATTTTTAGGGAACAAAGACTTCAGCTTCCCCTCCCCTTTGGAATTGGATAATTCTGAGGTGACTCTGCCATAGGGGATCATAGAGGCCCCAGTGGAGTTAAGCCCCAAAGACCTATAGTGGGGGCTCACTAGGAAATAAATCTGTTTAACTTCCTCACCTTCCCTGTCTCACCCCACTGTGATCAGTGTTTTCGGGGGAGGGGGTAACAATGCACATCAAGTACTTCTGATCAAATCTTCCGGGATCTCCTTTTGGAGGGAAATGCAAACTAATACAAGGACCAGAGTGACCTAAGGAGCCAGATCCTCTATACCACATATTACTTTCTTATGTCACCATCTGGCTGGTCTGCTGATCTGCACTGGCAGGAAGGACAGGAAGCCCTGGGAGAAGGAAGGATGTGCACCAAGATGTAGAAATGCTCATTCTCCCAGTAGGCAGGTAAGTGCCCACCACAAATAGTGTTCCTCCTTCCATAGCCAGGCAAAGTGAGGCTGCCTAGGGATTATCTTTTCTCCCCTCTCCTCTTACTCACAAAGCAAGGGCCACATGCTCCTTGCTTTTCAACGTACTGTAGCAGAAGTGATGTATCCAGACCAAGACAAATGAGAAACAGAGGTGCTCTATCCCTAACAGAGGTCACAGGATTCCTCCAAACTCTAGGAGTTAACCCAATCCCAAGAGAATACAAAATAGGTCATGGGGTCAGAGAGATTGTACAGGGCACTTGTGTTGGCATACAGCTGACCCGGCTTTAATCTCTGGCACCACATATGGTTCCTTTGAACATAGCTAGAAGTCAAACTTGAGCATAAAACCAGCAACAGCCAAAATACTGCAAGGTATGTATGGCTTATTTTCCACCCACATTCCAAAAAGAAAAGAAAATAGGTGATTGTTTCTACCAAGTTAGAGTTATCTGTGCTAGATTGGACTGATATGAGTTATTACACAGTTAAACTTGTACTAGTTATTGCACTGGTAAAAGTTGGGAGCTCGTAGCAGTCAACATTACCAAACTAATATCAATATTAGCTATAATCTTTGTCAAGACGCTGAAGAATAAAAGAATCTTTGCTCTTTCCTCATAGAGTAGATAAAGAACACTTGAATTAGGAGTTTATTTTTCAAAAGAGGAAAAAATCCTCGAATACCAAACTGTCCCATTTCTTTTGCCTCTCTATTGGGGGGTGCTGGACAGTGTCCAAGCCAGGGCTGTTGGTCTCCATGAGTAGAAAACAACCAGTCATGTGATACCAGCAACTGTGACCAGAGTTGGAAGAATATGTCTTAGAATGTTTAGACACTCCATCAAATTTCATGGTTCATACTGAACTTGGCCCCTTTGAAGTTCAAGTTCACTTAATTTTTGAAAAACACATTTCACATTTAATAACAGGACATGGCAGGAAAAAAAGACTAGATTTTAAACTTTCCTGTTTAAAATCTCCTCACCACTGCTGCAGGCACTATATCCATGAATTAGATGAATTAGGCATACAAGGATTAGATTTCCCTGAAAATCCAAGTAGTTTAGAGCTTTAGGGGAAAAGTCCATAATTAAGACATTTGGATCCACTAAATCAAATTATGTTTTTGGTTGTTTGTTTTTGGGCCACACCTGGTGGTACTCTTTGGGCTTACTCCTGGCTCTGTGCTCAGGAATCACTCTTGGCAGTGCTCAGGAGTGATGAGGATCAATCTTAGGTCAATAATCACGTGCAAGGCGAGAACCCTACCAGCTGTAGCATTGCTCTGGCCCAATTTAAACTATTTAGAAAGGTACCCAGATTCCAAAGAGTCAGCTAGGTTAAAGTTTTGTGTTGAAAAAGGAACAGCTCTATTGAATCTTTCTTTGCCTATTTATCCATACTGACAACACTCATCATAAGTTAAGTACTAGTTAGGGTTGTTTAGCTCAGAAAGAACTTGTATTCTTCTTGTGGCTAATTAATGTGTCAGGAGGAAATTCTATGTTCTCAGATCTGAATATGCCCTACTAAAAATAAAGAATTCTGTATTCATCAACAACAATAACATAACTAATTTTATGTAGTATAGAAAAAAATTAAAAAGCAACCACAGACCACTAACTTTTAAGTTCTTATTGATCTCTCACTAGTAACCAAATTTAGGATTCAAAATGCCATTTGAAAGATCTTTTTCTTTTTTCTTTGCCACATCTGTGGGGATTGGGGTTTCTCCTGGCTTGGTACTTTGGGGTTGGTCCTTGTGGTGCTTGAGGACCATGTGGGGTTGGGGATTGACCCAGGACTCTGACATGCAAATCACATGCTCCAGTCTTTTAAGCTCTCCCTCAGGCTGTAAAACTCTCTTTGCTTCTTCCTCGCTCAGTCTCAAAAGTAGAAAAGGCAGTGATAACTATTCACCACAGATTATGCAAAAGGCATTGCATATGTGTTATATTTAACATGTATTATACCTTCAATTATATTGTTAAGAGGACGTTCTAGCTTCCCATGGAACTGAAGAAACACGAATCAAAGGTCTACTTGAGATGCGGAGCCAAATAGTGAACCTCACAGAATATGGTGAAGACACTTTCCTCTTCTGTAAATTAGGAGATATTTACCAAGATCTTTAAATACTCTAAATCAAACTAAACTCAAACCCATATGCAAGATATTGCATGGCATTTACCTTACATTTAATCATCCCAAGGTTTAAAATTTACAATAATTTTTCTCCACTCCCCCTTCCTCATCTTTTTGACATTCTGAGGCATGACTAATGGCACACACTAACCAGCAGCACAATGAACTGTGCACAGTGAGCCAATTTTCTTTGTAAAAATCCTTTTGGAATAAATGGGACCTATTAAGTGATGTTGATTTTCCTGATTTCTAATAGGGTCCATATAAGTAAAAGTGTCAACTTGTTGGAAATTTTTCATTACATTAAGGAGGATTCTGTTCCTTGCTGACTATAGTAGTAATCAAAGACTATTGATTCAGGCTGCATAATTGGAAAAGATATTTGCAATTCATGCCTATCTTCAAAATTCAAGTATTTTCAGACCTGAGAGATAGTATCGGGGGTAATGTGGAAATGGTCCCCTTAACACCACCAGTGGTCACTCCTGAGCACAGAGCCAGAAATAGTCCCTAATAACTGCCAAGTGTGGCCTTCCCACCCCCTCCACCACCACTGGCAGGACCAAAGACTCTACTAATCCAAGAAAATTAGTTCAAAACTTATACTAATAATCTAACAAAGAATGCAAATACTTTATTTTTAAGTTTACCTTTTTAAGTTTGTAGTCTACCATATTTAAAAAATAAAAAATATATAAAATTATGTAAGGAAATCCTCCAACTAAGTTGTGTTTAGGGGAGGAGAAACAAGAACTGGTGTTCTGATGTTTAAAATAAGATGATTGTCTAGGGCTCAGAGTAATAGGACAGCAGGTATGGCACTTGTCTTGCACACAGCTGACCCAGGTTTGATCCCTGGCACCCAGATGGTCCCTCATGCCTGCCAGTCACAATGCCTGAATGCAGAACCAGGCCCTGAGTACAGTGGCTGTAGCCTCCAAACAGAAACGACAATAACACCAACAAAAAGACTGGATTGTCCAATGGAATTAGTTACTCAAGAATTCACAACTTGAATAGCTAGACACACTGAGAGTGTGCTAGACTGAAAAGGGAACACTTTATCCCCATGCATGCCATCATTCAGAAGACTAAGAAGCAATTTTTCATTCCCTCAAGGATGTACCTGCTCTTTTAAAAAATATATTATTATTTTTTTAATTGAATCACTGTGAGCTACAGTTACAAAACTTTCATATTTGACTTTTAGCCATACAATGATCAAACACCTCTTTCCCCACCAGTGTACAATTTACACCACCAATGTCCTGTCCCCAGTATCCCGTACCCCTACCCCATCCCACTCCTCCCCCTGATTGCTTGGGATGGGAGATGTATGCTGAAAGTGATAAAGAACTAAACATAATGGTCTCTCACTATCTGTATTGCAAACTATAATGCCCATAAGTAGAAAGAGAGAGAGTAAGAGGGAAATCGTCTGCCATAGAGGCAGGATGTACCTGTTCTGGGCATTAACCTCCACCTGGTCAGTGGTCACCTGCCCCAAGGAGTCTTCCTCCTGTTTCTGTCGCAGCCTTTCCTGGCGGGCTCGGCGACGCCGTTCCCGGGCAGCCTCTTCCTCATCATCATCGTTCCTCTGGTAGGCAATTCTGCAAAAGCACAGAGACAACTCCTGAGTATGCCAATTGTCACCCATCCTTACCAGCTTGCTGGCAGAACCAGCCCTGAGCCCTTCTTGAATTTGTTCACTTACAACTCATAGTGCAAGTAGATGGCTCTGTTCCTCAAGTTTAAAGACCTGATCTGACCACGTTTCAAGTTTTAGATACAGTATCTGAAAAGCATTAGTCTGGAGGATAACTTTCAACCATCAAACAACAGCGTCTACTCAGGGATTCTGCACAAAAGCTTTCAGTAACTGTGCATTCATTAGCAATGTGATGTTTCTGTAATAGGCTGATTACAAATGGGTAAGATTTAGAAGTTGATGTCCAAAGCACTGAACCAAATATAAACAAAACCTTGATTTAAAAGGTTCAGCATGTTTCCTGAATGATTTGTTCTAGACACTGTCACAAAGGCCAGAGAAGAACAAATTGTCACTGGACGACTTGAAAGTTAATGATTCTAACTTGCTAATTAAAGTGCAGGCTCTCGGGGCTGGAGCGATAGCACAGCGGGTAGGACATTTGCCTTGTATGCATCCAACCTGGGTTCGATTCCCAGCATCCCATATAGTCCCCCGAGCACTGCCAGGACTAATTCCTGAGTGAATGAGCCAGGATTAACCCCTGTGCATCGCCGCGTGTGACCCAGGAGTGCAGGCTCTCCTCTTTGCTTGGATTTTATTTTAGCCTTTCTGTTATTTTAAACCAGAGAATGGTGGAGTTATTGATGGTGGACAGGAGGAAACCTCCTCGAAAGTTCCCTTTCTTATTCTAAAGTAAACTTCAGTAAGCCCTATCTTTCAGCACCCTCACCATGTTGAATGCATCATGGCAATCTACAGGTGTATATTTGGATAAGAGTCTCAGGACTGGGGCAGGGAAAGGTGCAGTGAGGACTAGAGATTGATTCTATATTTCCTGGTTCCATCTGAAGCCAATGGCCACTGAGGGAAAAGACACAATCTACATCATGATGTCAGATGTATTTCCCCTAAAATTTATTCCCAAATCAAGAATGGGAGAGCCCAAAACTCAGGAGGCCTGCATGTTACCCTGGCTCCTTTTATTTTTTTTTTTTTTGGTTACACCCAGAGATGCTCAGGTGTTACTTTTTTTGCTTTTGGTCACCCCCAGCGATGCTTAGTTGTTATTCCTGGCTCTGCACTCAGGAATCACTCCTGCCTGTGCTTGTGGGACCATATGGGATGCCAGGGATTGAACCCGAGTCAGCCGTGTGCAAGGCAAATGCCCTCCCCACTGTACTATCGCTCTGGTCACACCCTGGTTCCTTTTGATGGAGCAATGTTGAACTACAGAGAGCAGGAAGGGAGGGAGAAGCACCAATGGGCCCAGGAAGACACTTTCTGAGAGGCCCACGGGTTAGGGTTGGGATAATTTTCATGCAGGACCGCTATGTTACGAGTAGAAATCCAGCTAGGAAGATATCCATAATTCCTATGTAACAGTGCTTAAGTGATTTACAAAGGGAAGAAAACAAACTAGTAGAACCACACAATTTAGCCAACAATATGAATCTATGATGGATGATGATTTTGGGAGATAGCCAAACTAGGCATTTTGGGTCTGGTACTTTATCCTTTGACATTCATCAGACAAATGCTAGCAATTGGGGGGTTTCCACTAGGAATCATCTAAACTGATCTCTAGCTTACAGCCTTGTAGGAACTGAAGTGAAGTTTCCTTGTCTGTGTGCAATCTGAGGAAATTTTGGGCATGGAAGGAAAGCTCCCAGTGCTACTCTGCTGTCATTATGACGGCTCAGTTGAGAAACTGCCCAGTGAGAAAAGATGAGTTCGATGTTGGATTTGATGAATTTGAGGTGACAACAGGACAGGAGTCGAGTGTTTGTTTTTAATTCAGTCGCATTGTAGTTCATAGTCAAAGGCCCTACCCAGTGGTTTGGCTTCAAACTTCAGAATCTTGGCCCAATATTCTTTTGGCTGCTTGAAGCACAGCAGGGAGAATCAATGCTCGATGGTTGCTTCCCAAGCGAATCACACAAAAAGCCTTACTTAGCTCTCTATGTGCCTGGATCGGCCAAAAGGTCTTGGTTGTTACTTGTGGACATTCTTGTCCAAGACAAACAAGAGACAGAAGAGTTCCATTGGAGACTTCTGTGCTAAAACCAAAACTGCCTGTTCTCCTCAGTGGTACCTCATTTGAAGCCCTTGACTTCTCACTATATTCAAACAATCAGTAATTGAAAGACAGGTAACATCCTTCTAGCTATATTTAGAAGTAAAATGTTTCAAAAAACATCATTATAGAGACACTTTTACCACCTGTTCTATTATTAACCTAGGAAAACCTTCCAGACGTTAGATTTTCTTTATTTAAGTATTTGTTCATTTTAAAGACTTTTGATACTCATCAACAAATTGCCCTCTGGAAAGGTACAAACATCAGAAGTGTATGTGTGTGCAAATTTTGTCATAAACAGAATTTCTCCAAAAAGACAAATACACAAAATCCACATTATATTCAAATAACAGCATGATCTCTGTTTTATGCTTCAGTTAAAAACAAAATGTTAACATTTCTAATTTTCCACACTCCAGATTTAAATACATAAAATGATGCTGATGTATAAATCATATCTCACCACTCACTAGATTACATTAAAAGTACAACAATCCATTTGTTCCTTCTGTAAAGCAAAAGGATTGTTTCTCCTGATACTGGCATTAATCAGCCCACTGGGATCCTATACTCTGGATATCTGATGTTGACAGATGATTCATGAAGTTTCTCTGAATCATCTGAGAAAAAATAAAGTAGATTAAAATATTTTTTTTTCTTTTCTTTTTTTTATTTATTTTTTTACAGTTGTAGATTTACAATTTTTTTTGTGCTTGGGTTTCAATTATACAATGATCAGATACCCATCCCTCCACCAGTGCCCGTTTTTCACCACCATGGATAATATCCCTCCCACCCCCATCCCCCCATCCCCCCCTGCCTCTGTGGCAGGGCAATAAAATATTTTTAAATTAAATATATTTTATTTGGCTCTATTTAAAAAAAAACCAGGAACCAATGAATGGTAAGCAAAGCACCTCTCTATCAAATTACATGTTCAATTGAGTTCCCCACTTGAGGTGGGTATAAGGGAGTTTCCTATGAAAAGTTATACTTTGATAGTTGCATTGACTCATGTCTTTATACAAAAAGAGGAAGGTAGGATCAAAAAGTGGCAGCAAAAGGACTCTTCAAATATTTGGGAGAAAGTGATGTGTGTGTGTGTGTGTGTGTGTGTGTGTGTGTGTACGCGCACACGCGAGTGCATGCATGTGTAATAGCTATACCATGTCAAAAGTCCATAATAATTATACAATGTTACTTGACTTGTGCTTGTGACTTGAAAAAGGTAGAGAGGACTAGATTTTTTCCCCCCATTCTCAGGACCACTGCTGCAAGGTTCTGGTTGTACATCACAAGAAAAATCAAATCTAAGGGCCAAGAGATAGTAGAGTTGATAAGGCTCTTGCTTTATCATTGCCTTATCATACATTGCCTTGCATGTACCTGACCTAGGTCCAGTCCCCAGCATCATACATGGTCTGCCAGCCCTGCCAGAGGTGATTGGAAAATCAAGGGTAAGCCCTAAGCACCACCAGGTGTGGTCCCAAAATCAAAACCAAAACCAAACCAAAAAGAAGACAAATTAAATCTAATAAAGGGGAATAATCTCAGAAAATCTTTACTCTTAAGATGAAATGTCTTTTAACCACTAGAACTTACTGCCTGAGAGCATTCAAGAAACAAAATAATAAGATTCCTTTCTGTACTTTATAGATAGTAAGTCAAATAAATAGAAGTATTACAGACATGGTACATAAGGAAATCTCCAAGGAATAATACTCTTTTCCTTGAATGGGTCAGGGTTCAGATTGGACTAGATGAGAGTGAGACGATGGCAGACGTTTCTGCATAAGGCACTGAGACAAAGAATTAGCAATCAACTTGCCTCAGTGTCCCTCTCCTAAATCCATCTTTTCCAACTGAAATTACTCAACTAAAAATGCAATTCTATTCATGACCATACATTTTTCTCCTCTGTCCTGAATTTAATGTAGAATGTCTACAGGTCTGTAGATCTGAAACTTATTTAGTGTTATAATGTAGTGTGACTTTAAAAAGTTTTAAAAAGATAAAACCTAAGAATAACTTCTAAACAAGAAAACATTTTTATAAGACCTTTTATAATACATAAAGTTCTTATTAGACTCTCACCAGCATTGTTGGTTTCTTTGTTTTTATGCTGTTTCCCCTACTTTGAATAATAATACCCTCATTTCCTTCATTTTTTTTTCATTTTGTTATTTGCTAATTTGAAACTAAAGTACATGATCCTTAAAGTTTTCAAGTAAAAGTGCTGGCAAAGCGTTTCATTAACAAAACAAGATGTCTTATCAAGCAACTATGTTTAGAAATGGAATTTAAAAAGTAATAACAATTTTTATGAGAGAAGATTTGATACATATTTGGAAGCATTAAGGAGTATTAAAGGTCCAAAGATAATACGAAAGAAGTACAGTTGAGAATATATTCATGGCTCAGTAGCACTGCACTGTAGCACTGCTGTCCTGTTGTACATCAATTTTTTCAAGCGGACAACAGTAAGGTCTCCATCGTGAGACTAGTTGTTACTGTTTTTGGCATATTGAATACGCCACGGGGAGCTTGCCAGGCTCTGCCGTGCAGGCAGGGTACTCTCGGTAGCTTGCTGGGCCCTCCGAGAGGGATGGAGGAATTGAATCTGGGTCGGCCACATGCAAGGCAAAAACCCTACCCTCTGTGCCATAGCTCTAGCCCATAGCTCAGTATAGTTTATATTTTTAATATTGATAATCACAGAATTACTCTAAGTTACTGGATAAGCAAAAAATTCATCTAGTTTATATAGAGTAAATAGTTACTATACAATAAAATTTTTAATGTTTGGTGACTTTTACAATCAG